GCGATGTCCAGTTCGGGTTCTTTTTCACTTAATTTTTATTACTCAAAACAGTGTCACATCACATAAACCTCGTACCTGAGGGTGCATCCACACCACCTAGAAAAAGCTTTTCAGCAATTCTACTGGCTGAAATTTTTGGAAAATTCATCTGTCAAAAATTTCAGCCAATCGAATTGCTGGAAATCGAGACAAGGTCATTACGCCGATACGCCACTCGCCGTTCCGCTTTTTCTAGGATGGTGTGGATGCATCCTGAGTATTTTACAGTTTCAATAACTGCACTATTCAAAACTAAAATACTTAAATATTATGACAAAGCCACGATTTTAATATTATTTCAAAGCCATCATCATCGGAACTGGGAACTGGGTGAAATACGGAGCCGGAAACTTCTGATTTCTGTCATATTGGCCGCTGCGCTCGAGATTTTTAAAATCAACTGAAATGCACCGATAAGCCTATAATAAATTAATGGTCAATATGACAAAGTAGATTTTGAACGATGACCGATAAATAAGTAAATCTTATGAATGAATGTAGAATGTTTAGGAGGGGAGCTAATCACCGCGACCTTATAGATCTATTGCGTGTTCCCCTTTCTTGAGTTATAACGAGTTATAACTCATCATAGAGTCTCAGGGCTTTAACAAAAGCCAGTATCTGAGACGGCTCCACAGAGGCCAGCTCTCCATCCTCGACATCAGCCGTACCAAAGTTCATGGCACGAATGGTCGTCGTCTCGGTGCACTCAGTGATAAAGTGTTCTGGTGTTTCCCCATTATCCCCACAGAATCTGCATTCGCCGTTGTTTCTCAGCTTCAGCCTACTGAGGTGTTCGTGGAGGAGACAGTGTCCTGTTAGAAACCCCGTGACAATCCGAAGATTATTTTTACTTAAATCAAGGAAAACCTTTAATTTTTCTCGGCCGTAAGCTCTGAGGAACTTTTTCGAGTGTCTTAGACCGTTGGAGGACACCCATTCCTGGATGGAGTCTTCCAGATTCTTCAGTTCCGCTTTCAGTTGGTTCCCGTTTGGAAAACAGAACGGTTCTGGTCCAGTTAGTGGATTGTTCGCTCCTTTCCTAGCTAGATCATTTTCTTTTTCATTGCCTTCTATCCCTTGGTGAGCAGGCACCCAGAGTAGGAGGACTTTATTTTCTTTGCCTCATTTGTTGAGCTTCTCTAGGCATTCTTTGACCAACTTCGAATTGATGGTTACTGAGATGATCGCGTTAAGTGCTGCTTGACTATCGGATAGGATGGCAATTTCCTGTTTTCGATAGTTCCTATCTAAGATAAATTGTACGCATCTTACGATAGCGTAAATTTCTGCCTGAACGGTACTGGGGTAGGTGCCCATTGGTTCGGAGTATTTAGTTTTTGGCACAAATACTCCTATCCCTGTCCCTGCTTTGGTTTTGGAAGCATCAGTATACCACGTTATGGTATGGTCTTTTATATGCTGAGTAAGCGTTTCTTTCTTCCAATCCTTTTTATTACTCAATACTACAGAGAGGTGTTTCTCAAAGTTGTAAATTCTTGGTATGTCATCCACTTATCCAGAAATCTTATGAAACACTACATAAAAAATATGTAACCGTTAATTAATGACCAAAGAATACTTGGCCAGCATTAATATATTTTTTATATTTTTCAAATATTGTTTTTTCGGTATGTTTATTAAGATTTACTAACAAACCAAAATATTTTTGATGTCTAACGATCTTGAGAGTTTTTCAAGTGGCAAAAAATCCAAATGACGCAACTATATATCATTAAAGAAATATTTGGTAGGTAATATTTTACAAAACAATTAGTTTACGTTTTTAAGACTTACTCTTATTCTTATTCCATATAAGTGTTATATTTTTTTTTCTGATATTATATTGTAAATATAAAAATATACTATGTAAAGGTACTTGGCACGTACTTGAGTGTAAGTACTCAAGTACCTACATAAGGTACGCACTTCTTTTGATATTACATACATCATACATAAGGATACATAATTACAGTTAATAATTAATATTTGTTGTTGATCTGATAACAAACTAGATTTTTTAATACACAATAAAGAGTAAGTAAAACATATATTAATATACCGATTTGGTCATTTTAGAAGTGTGGTCTGGATTATAACGTGTAAGACAGAGAATAATATAAATGACCGATTGACAAACAGAGAGACAAAATCAAAAGCGACATAGAATGTTGTCGGTTTTTACGTTTGTAGGAAAATTTGTGTAGAAAAAAAACTATTTTAAAAACTTTGATGTATACTACTGAACTGAAGATACCATATCTAAGCTAAATACAATCTATTACATCTGTAGTAAAAGGAGTTACTACTTGTGAAAAATAAAAGGTTCCAAGCCTAGATGCAACATTTTCCATAAACGCCTACTTGTGTGGTTTAAACTTTTGATGCAAAATCTGGCAATACCGCATAGAAGACATGTATCAACCCAACTTTTATCTCTTTTTAATACATTTGATTTTCCATTAAGCTGCCTACATCACTGTCTTACACGTTAAAATCCAAACCACGCTTCTAAAATGACCAATTCGGTATATTGATTTATTAGTATAATGGTGCGTTTAGACTTCAGCACGCACGAGCTGAACGTGCGCGCACGGCATTCGTTCGCGCTCTCGGTTCCGTTCAAATTAAAAACTTATTTTTCGACGAATGAAGTGATCCATTTGTGCGCGCACAGCAGAGTTGTGTTGGCGAAAATAATGGACGACCAAGAAATAGTCGAGGCTGCAGTCATTGTTATGCACAATATTATTAAAAAAGAGAAAAATCGAAAACATCGTAGCTGGTGGCAAACCCAAATTTTTAGAAATTGATATAATTTAATGCAACAACTTAGTGTCTGAGGAGGGCTATGATCAGTTCAAAAATTTTACAAGAATGACCAGACCCGACTTTAAATATTTACAAAATTTAATAACACCAAAAATTATTACGAACAAAAGATACAAATTTTAGAATAGCAATTTCATTAACATCGACATATTCAATATTAATTTTACTAACAAGATCTTGCCATGCGTTTTTTTTATTTTTTAATAATATAAAGAATGTTAGAATTTAACATCACAATGTTAGAGTTTAACATCCCATAATATAGGCAACTTTTCATATTCTTCAATTAATAATAATGAATCTGCGTTATTATTAATTGGTCCACTCCATAATTTTAATAAAGAAAACGAAAAAAAAATCACACACGCACGCACGAACGCAGACAAAAGAAATTGCCGATGTAAACTGAGTGTTCCCGCACACATAAAATCCCTTTGAGCACGGACCAAAAACCTACACCAAACGGCTCACGTTCGCGGCTGTTCGCGCACAGACAGATTCAGAGTAAGCGTGCGCGCATAGCCGTTTACACTTGAGCATTCGCGGAGGATCAGTGCGTGCGTGCTCAAGTCTAAACGCACCATAATATAGTCAGTGCGTTTGAGCTCTAAAACAGGTTCGAATAAGGCAAAAGCCTAACGTTTAGAAAATACAATTTATCATTGGACACAACATTGACAAAATTATAGGATGACAGCTTAAGTTTTGCCTGGTTTTGCAGGTTTATTGTTGATTGGATTTACAACTTAAGCCATTTGCTTGGTTTTACATTGTTACATGTACAGTTTTAGTATAAAAATAGATACAGTTTTTCTTAAATTACTTAAAATCGACTTGTCCAAAATTGTTCAAAGTTGGCATGTGTATTCAGCATACGCAGGCTTTTAAAACACCTATTTACAACTTCGCTGTAAAATTAACAGGGGAGCCAATATCTGGACAGTTCAAAATTTGCATGCGATTTCCTGTTTCCAAAGACGATATATAGTGATATATATATATATATATATATATATATATATATATATATATATATATATATATATATATATATATATATATAGATTTATTAAACCGCTTATACGAGCCCAAAAACTACGTTGCTTATATATATATATATATATATATATATATATATATATATATATATATATATATATATATATATATATATATATATATATATATATATATATATATATATATATATATATATATATATATGTATAGATATATACAAAAATAATACTCAATTTACTTATATATATTTTATTACAACAAATAAATTCACAATTTTCTAATAAAAACAATCAATGACGACCATGAGTAAAATATTACTGAAATAAAAAGTATTATTAAAAATGACTAGAGAATATAAAAGTTTTAAAATTCTTATTTTGGCATAACAAATCTATCATTGGTTTATACAGAAAAGTTGACAAATATAAATTACCGAGTGTAAATTTGATATAAAAAAGAACTAGACGTACATCAGAAATCTATTGTTAAATTATAATATTCACTCATGACACGCCATAAAAAATATCTTACAGTTTTAAAATAAATCACATAATATTTATAGCTTAATATCTATTGAACAATAGAATATTCTAACTATACTTGTAATTAATTGTATATGATAAAAGTTTGTTTTTAAATATTTAAGAAATATATGTTAAGAGACAATAAATTTTAAATTTTATAATATTTAATAAAAATGTATTTATAGGTTCATTTTCTATGTAATACATAATGCACAATAGTTATTTATCTAAACATCAATTATTAAAAAACACCACAATTAAATATATTTGAAACAGCAAATAAGAGCTTTTTCATATTTAATTTTGAATAATACTGTTCCATGCAACTATAGGGTATTTGTGTATTACTTAGCTATTGACTTAGAAACATAATTATTAGTTAACAAATATTGTTATCATAAAATAAAAGACGTCAAATTGCAAGTTGCAAACTTTCCTAATAAATTGTTAGGTACATTAACGTTATAGTATCTTCAAAGACATTTATATATACTAAGATAATGATTTTCTTGCAATGTTCAAATCTCTTTTTATATACTTATCAGAAGCATTTGATATTTTATAAGCATCATGCATAATTCTATATCTACTTTATATTATTTCTCCATTATTTTGTTCAATGATGGCTTATTAATGTTTCTCTATCAGGCAACTGGCGAACCTTCATACTACCATCAGCTCCACAGGAGAATAATCTGGAGTGTGCATCTATTTGAAGCTGCGTTACGCCCTGCCCTATATTCTTGAAAAAGCTACTTCTGGCATGTTCTGCTGGCAGAGAAAGCAGAACATTCGGTACAGCTACTCCCCAAATCTAAAAAGAAACAAAAAACTGGTAAATAAATATTACAAATGTAAATAAATGTCGTATGTATAAATAAATTATCCTAATACGCCCGATCGGGTCTATTAAGGCTCAATCAGAAAATGAAATTACATTTCACCCCCAATAACAAAATCTTTATATAAAGGACTATATCGGAGTATTATATTATAAAATCCACTAAGTCAAGCATCGTTTTACTAAACTATTAACACCATAACATATACCCAATTGGCCAGGTGCATATGACGTGCTCAACAGTTTCGTCACTATCCAAGCAGAGTAACCTCCATCTTTCACCAATGACTATGCTGTATTGAGGTCAGGATATACGCATCATTTCCGTCAGCATTATATTATTGTAAGTAATTGACAAATGTTTTTAAAGTGAAACTTCTTTACGCGCGTTGGGAGTAAAAATTAAAGGTCGTGACGGCCGCGACGCATGAGCTAGCGAGTGGAAAAGTGGTAACGGCAGTGTTGTCACAGCCACCCCATTCGGGGTAGATCTGCCCCTTTATAAAACAATTTCACCCCGCTATCTCGTTATAATCTACCCCGATGAAAAATAAGCTTGTGGCAACACTGGGTAACGATCTGTGCTATACGGTGCTAAGAAAATCACTATAATAAACTAGATACTGTACCAACCTTGATGTGTACGAATATCCGCCGAATTTTATTATCGCTATGTTGGTCACATTGCGCCGTGTTCAGCAATGTTGTCCTTTATTATTTGACAATTATCTATCAATATTGAATCTTTCTGAACGATTCTCGTTTTTTTGCCTATTTTCGTAGTCTTTTTTTAAAAACTGCACTTTTAAGCACAAACAGTTCTTTTAAGAACTAAATTTTCAAGTTTCTGTATTGCATTTCTTGAAATTGTGTGTTGAAAATAGGCCGAAGCATTTGTACAGCCGAAGAAAAGAGCTCGTAGCTTCCCTGCTAAACAGTTTGAACGAGAACGTGACAATAAAGGTCGTTTATTACCCTTGACTGCAGTCAGAGAAGTAATTTTGATGAATAAGCACATTATACCACTTTCAAAGATAGTTTTTATTAAATTCTGTGATTATTAGTTTGTGCATTAATAGCATCCTCTTGTTATTACTTATGGCGTTGTAAGATGTACATCAATAAATAAATAAATAAATAAGTCATAACAACGCTTAACGCTTCATAATCTAAGTTCATAATGGACTAGTTTTTGTCAATATGGAATAAGTAAAATAAGCTATAAAACAAAAATCAATTAGTCACTAAAATATTAGTTATTATTAAATTAAAAATAGAACGTAAAACTCTCTAAAAAATGATATAATAAATATATTATTTGCCAATTTTAAATTAAGATTCATCTCATAAATCCATTACAATCTGGCAGAGCTGTCGCCATCGCTTGTCACTCAAAATTGATCACGTGCATCGGAAATTGTTTTGAGATTACCATACAAAGTGTAAATGGCGTCGTTCAGGATGACATGATTCAAATGCATTCTTTTAATAATTAATAAAGAAAATATACATACCTTAATATCTCCATCTGCAGAACCAGTAGCAAAGTAATCTTCGTGAGGGTCAATGGCGATACATTTGACGGCGTTTTCATGTGCATTAAACTTGTGTCTGATACTCTTTGATCTAACGTCAATAAGACAAACGTCACCTTTCTTTCCAGCTGAGATTAATACCTATAAAATATAATAAATAATATAAATAATTCATTTATTAATATTAAATTTCAAATACCTGATGTTGGGGTGCAAATACCAGACTGCTTGACCCCTGATCGTGGCAAGTAAAAGCCATAACCAGAGCTTTATTGTGAGGTAGAATCGAATCCCATATACAGACGTTTTTGTTTTCCGAACTATGTCCAGCTAAACATAATAATAAATATTTTTTGTATATTACATCAGTATAGTGCAAAATAATGTTTAGTAAGTACAGGGCGAATCACGGTGATAATAAGCAAGACGTTTATACAGAGCCGATGGTAGGATTTTGTGGAAATTTAGCGACTTAGATAAATGCATCTGCTCTATGCCACTGCATTTGAAAAATAGTAGTCTCTTTTCTATACTAACTACAGTATATTATTCAGTTCACATCTGAAAACGGTCAGTAATATCTGACCGAAACGTTCTGTAAATTAAAATAAAGACAATTGTAGTTCAAAATTATTTTACTATCACTCAGTATATGTATTATTCAATTTTTAGAAACTCCATACTTTAATTTCTCATTATTTTTTTTTTTAAATAGTTCTCAAGATAAAAAATAAAACGTGTAATAATAATATAAATACCGTATGATCAAATAAAAACAGCATCAAAGACGGCTGGAGAATGACAATCGATAATAATTTTGTCGAGGTCAATCTCTAGACGTCATTTACTAAAAATGTTGACATAACATTTGTCAAAAATTAACACTAATTATAGAGAGAAAAAAGGATAGAACGTTTCTTCAGGCCAACTGGCAGTAAGCGCCATTAAAAAACAAACAAGAGTCCGAGCCAAGTAATGACGTCTAGGGCTTGAACTCGAGTGTCATTCCCCAGCCGTATTTGACGCCGTTTTTTTCGATCGTATGGTAGTATTATTATGATACAATTTTGTATTAAAGAAATTATCAATTTGTTATTATTTTTTATTACTATTGTATTAATATGGTTTAAATTTACATCAATAAGCATTGATAAAATAAAGATTCCGGTGTAAAGAAAGTTGAAATTTGAATTGTGCGTATGGAGTAGGGCTGAGCGATACCGTGATTATTAAATCACATTGTTAACTGATACTGTAATTTTGTTAATGTTAGTGATTTCAAAGAGTGGCGTGATCACGGCTCTCTTACTCAATTATGCTAATGCAGCTTGTCGTGACGTGACAATTCGTTTATTGTCAATAGTTAGTAGTTACTTCCAAAATGTTAATCGTTATGAGGTTAGGTTTAGGTGTCAGGTAAACATGAACATATTTTTCAAGTTAAACCCAAAGAAAAGTAAATTATTCGTTCTGTGAATAAAATGAATATACAAGTATATATTTGTAAACTTAATATTTATAAAATTATTATAAACACGCCGTATATTATTTAAAAAATTATTGTGAAAATTTAAGTGGAATAAGACATCTAAACAATCTAAGACCATGATACAAAGAATACAAGGAATGATATTGCGCAGGTTGGTCACTACGTCACAGCTAGGTGATAAACGGCACCATTGGGGTAGGCAAGCTCCGGGCGCCAATTTCAAATTGTCAAACAGATGACACATAATAAATGTGAAAATAATTTTTCAACTGTCAAGCTCGATGATTTCACATAACTTTTGGGGTTATGTCTTAATTCTTCCCTATTTTAGGTCTTTTTTTATTAGTGGCAATTGAACAATATGGATATTTTTTTGTATGGCGTATGAGGTCACAGGCGGTATGCGCAAACTTAACGAAATTGGAGTTGCTATCGATCATACCTTGTTTTCTTCGTATCATGGTCTAAGACAAGCAACATAGATTTATAAAAAAATATGTTGACACTGACATTCATTTATGACATAAATTAGCATTACATATACATTTTAGTTTTTGTTAATTTTATTTTAGAAAATAAAATTAACAAAAACTAATTTTTGGCTTAGTATTTGACATTAACCACAAAACATGTTTAAAATTTAATGTAGAAGTCAAAACTTAAATAATATAATATAGCCCTGGTCAGTTCATCTGCGTGATCTGAGGTTAGGTGGGATCTGTATTTTAATGCATGCGAGAGAGTGATATAAATGATCAGTTGACAGGCAGAGAGATAAAATTAAAAGCACCATACAGTGTTGCCGGTTTTTACGTTTGTAGGAAAATGTGTGTAGAAAAAAAATAAACTATTTTAAAAACTTTCATGTTGAACTGAAATGAAGATAATACATCTAAGCTAAATATAACAGCTGTAGTAAAAAGAGTAACTAATTGTAAAAAATAAAGTTCCAACCCTAAAAGCAACATTTGTCATAAACGCCTAGTGGTGCAGTTCGAAATTTCGATGCAAAATCCGGCAATACCGCATAGAAGACATGTATCCACCCAACTTTTATCTCTTTTTAATACATTTGATTTTCAATTAAGCTGTCGATAATGCTGTCTTGCGCGTTAAAATCCAGACCACGCAGGTTTTTTTAAAATTAAAAATCAGCTAATTTTTAAAAAAGTACGTCTGGAAATAGCCTTAATATACGGCGTTATACCCTATGATCGAAAAAAAAAACGGCGTCCAGTTGGCTGGGAAATGACGATCGATGACATTTCCCATACAAATTTACATATAAAATGACAGTGACCTTCATTTCATAGCCGTCGCTGACGCCGTTTTAATAATCTAAATCAGATCCTAAAAAAGTTTAACGAACCATTTGCAAAAGTTTTGCATTCTCTCATTGGACAACCTATAATAAACAACATAGTATCAAATATATTGCAATTACCTGTGGCAAGTAAACTACAAGATCCCAAAAATACGAAGTCACTAATACCCTTGTTGTGGCAATTGTGAGTCTGTAACACATAAGTCATCTATGAGATAAAAATATTTATATAAGATTGTTGACATATCAAAAAGTACAAGCTGTTCATTCAAAGTTTAGTAACTTTACTTACAAAAAACGGCCAAGTCGCATTAACGCTCAGTCCCACTTGGAACAAACTGAGATTTCCGTCCGAATCGGCCACACCAAACTTATTACCATGCTGAGAGAAACGTAGACGAGTCACTTTGGCGTATGTACCGGCTGATCTAGGCGTGGCAACAGGATGTTGGTGTCCCCATTCCCATAGTTGAACAGATCCATCAGTACCTCCTGTCAGATCTAATTTAGAAATAAAAACACCTTGTGTTAACATTTCTTACACCGGGTGTTTTCAAAAGTGGCTCACCCCTATAACTCTTCGTTTTTCAGACAAAAAAATTTGGTATAAGTAAAATCGGGATTGATTGACGTATTGAATTACTTCGGTCACTTACTGTTTCACTGGAAATGACTACAACTTTTGATTATATTTTTGTACTTATGATTGTATTTTTTTACATTGTATTTAGAAAATGACATTCCGAATAGAATGACAGATCATATGTCAACTTTTGACATTTTCAATTTAAAAAACAGCATTTAAAATTTCAAATTAGAGTGACTGCGTTAAAACAGTTAATTTTTATTCAAAAAATTTTGGAAAAATAGATTTGATTGTTTAATAGTCTAGATAGTATTTTTAATCATAACTCAATTTTTTTAAATGGAACGAGGGTGGCTCATTAACATATTTGAAAAATGCATTTTTTACGACTAATTTGGAACCAAACACTTGGTATTTGGAGTTAAATTGTCGTCATGAACCGCACGTTACAATTTCAAATAAACTATATGCGAAAATGTCAAAAGTCGACATATGATATGTCATTCTATTCAGAGTGTCATTTCTATAGGTAATAAAGTAAAAAAATACTAAATAGGTGTCTTTTAAAAATCAAAAGTTGCAGTAATTTCCGGTGAAACAGGAAGTGGCCGAAAACAATTGAATACGTCAATCAATCCCAATTTATGTCATATACTAACGTACTAAATATCGTTTTTTTTATCTGATAAAAATAAAAAAGTTATATTGATATACATGATATCGGAAAAACTCCAGTGATTTTTTTCCACCTAGAGTGGAGATAAAACGTGAATTAACATTAACAGTGTTAGTAAACGTGATTTTTTTTCGCTGCCAAAATAACCTGTGAATGTGAATTTTACCGTTAATGATAATTTTCGCGTTTAGATAATGCTATTGCCATGAGGTGATTCTTTTCACAGTTAATCTGTCCGTGATTTTTTTATTTCCAGCGAACTTCGGTTGCGATTTCACTATCGGATGCAATTTCACATTCCGATATCAACTAGGGTAGTTATTCTTTTTCATAAATACCATGCTAAACTAGGACCACCGTATACAACAATTTTGTTTTTCTGTTGATTTTAGGACAAGTAGACAATCATGATTTATAATTAAATTGACAAATATAAACAAAAAAGAAATTGACATAAACTACATTTTACGTAATTTACATTGAACTCGCTAAAAAGTCCATAAAAACTTTTCTTTTTAGGGTTCCGTACCCAAAGGGTAAAAACGGAAACCCTACTACTAAGACTTCGCTAACCGTCCGTCTGTCACAAAGGTCTATCTTATGAACTTTTATAGCTAGACAGTTGAAATTTTTACAGATAATGTATCTATGTTGCCGCTATAAGAACAAATACTAAAAACAGAATTAAATAAATGTTTATAAATAAAAAAGTACTTTCACTAAACATTATCTTTTAAGTAATAATTTTACATAGAATCTTTCAAGTCCTCGGTGGCCGCGTGGTTAAAGCGTTAGGACTTTACGCTGCTATGACGTTGGAGCCGTAGTAAGGCAGGTTCGAATCCTAGTCAAGGCGACTTTTTTTAATCTTTTTTTTTATTTTTAAATATTTTTACATATCTATTTTTACTTTTTACATATTTATTATTGATTAATACAATTTTTAGTAATGTGATTCTTTATTTTTTTTAATTACTTATACGCGCATTCAAAATATCAGCTAAATCGGAAAAAAGTGCAGTAAATATAGTGTCTAATGTTGTATAGATAATGAATGGTACGGAACTTTAGATAATGAATGGTACGAATTTTCTTTTTCAGTTGGCAGCATACTAAAATATTACACCTTTCCTACAGATATTTTGTATAGAAGTTAGTTGTCCCTAACCGTCAATAACACAAATCATACATCTTACAAATGGCTATATGGTGTCCTTGTGTTCTAAATAATATTATTAAAATAATATTTAAAAGCACAATACAAATGAAAAGTAACGATGAAAAATGACCTGTAACATAACAATGTCTCAATCTCAGCGCGAACAAGATATCATGAGGTCTCATTTTCATAGCTTTATTTTTAAAACTATCTGCGGTATACACGCGAAACGTGGCTTAATATTGATTTGACAAATAAAAGATATAACGATGATCTCTGAAAAGAGAATCTATTTATTAAAATTTGGATACTTACACAATGGAAGTAGCGGATGGGATGTAATTCTCCTGACTCCATCTACTTTGTGTTTCAAAACCTACGTAAATAATATACTTTGTATTATACGTAAAACTATAATATTATGATTTGTTTGAATATACAAAATTTGTGGTCAATTTTGATATTTAAAAACTCTTAATATAAGTTATATCTTTCTTGAGATAATTATAAAAAGTGAGCTTATAATATTCTAAATTATTATAGTAACAAGTTTATCATACACATTTTGAAAATGTTGTACCATTTATAATTATATAAGAAATTTGTTTTTTTCGGGTTATTAGGCCGTCGTCGCACAGTAGGCAATATGTCCAAACCAAGTTGCAAAAAATAACATCCACAGTTAGCATTTATGGCAATAACATTAGATTGGAAACATATTAGTTAAGAGGAAACCACATAAAACTAACAAAAAAACATATTCGGAGTCTCTTTCGAGGGGCTGTAAAACGAACTTTGCGCAAAACCTACATTTTCAGTTAATTTGTGTCCAATAACTGCCTTTTTTCTACAATTTTTTAAATAGTAGGTATTGCATTCAAGTGACACAGTATTATAACAATTGAATCGGACGACCTTAGCTTGCTGTCAATAATTATTGTGAAATTGTCATAATGTGTTTTACGTAGATTCCGGTTGCGGTAAATTTAATGTCAAGGTAAGTAAAAAAGGATCTTTTATTTTGATTTTTTGGATAAAAACTAGGTAAAGGTCAAAGTAGAACATAATCATTTAAGGTTTTTTTGATAGTGGCATATATTCTATCTTAGAAAAGTTAAGTCAAAAAAATCGCAAAAAATCGCAACTTTAAACTTATTGGAAGCGTATGTCTCCATGCGTATGTGTATAGCAAGATTCTTTATGTGGATACTTCTCATAAATTAATTGTTATAGTAGCTAGAGAAGAACTTGAAATATAAAGTTACGTAATTTTTCTCAAGATTTCCGAAGAGGTATGTCAAATGACATTTTTGACAAATTGACAAATTTTGACAGTACCTAATTTTTTAAATTAAATGAAATGGATTTTTCTTTCAGATTTAAAAATGTGCACTTCGTGACCATTGCTTCCAGCTGTTATAAAACAAAATATCAGTAAATAGTAGGTGGTAAAATAAAATTTAGATATTTTTAATAGGTATAAGTTCTGTTATTTTCGAAATCGTCATTGTTTAAGTCTCAGAATATTGTTACTTATTCAAAATATAATAATAAAATATTGTTCACATATTGTCTGGTATTATTAGAGACCCAACTTATTCAAATGACAAACAATCTTGAATAAAAGTTCGATTGGATTAGTATACTTAGGGTTTTCTTTTATACATTGACACCCCCTTTATCTTTTTTATTTGACGTTTCCGAAAACTGTCTCAAATGAAAGTGGTTTTGAATAAATTTGCCAAAAAGGTCTATTTCGCATATCCAAAGTGCTTCAAAAAATCTGGGCGTGGTTCAACTATCTTATTTCAAATTAGGTATAGGGTATGCTACATAAAAGTAGTTAGGATTTTTAGGAGAAAATAAAAAAAAAATAAATAAAAAATTGGGTACTAATTTGAAATAAGAAAGTTGGGCCACGCACAGGATTTCTAAGGCACCCTGTATATGCAAAGAAGACTGTTTTGAAAAATGTATTCCAGACCATTAAACTTTTAGAGACACTTTTTTCGAAAACGTCGAGTAAAAAAGATACAGAGGATGTCAATATATATATACCTAACCTAACAAACCCTGTATATGCCGGAGGAGTAATAATTGCTCAATATTTGTCTGTTTCATCTTGGCTCTGCCAAAAATCGTAAAATTAAGTGAAATGTAAAATATTCTTACCGCATTTTGGTAGCTGTATTAATCAAAAGATGATTTTCCCATTTTATGAATCCCCCCCACCACCCCCAGCCAATCTCAAGTCAGCCAAAACTAACTGAGTTCACGGGCTACTGGCATAGAATGTTTTTACCAAATTTGAATGAAATCGTACAATAAAAGAATTTTTGCAACATACTTCTGGATTTTTGCCCACTGTGCGTCGCACATAGGTCATTTTATGTATTTTAGGAATTAATAAATAAAAAAATTGAATGTCGAAAAAAATATTTTTTTATATTTCATCTTGGAGGTAGGGCCCCATAGATATTATATCTGCGATATTATATTTTAATATTAACAGAAGTGGCCATGGCCAGAATGACAATGTCAAAGTTTGTTTGAATTATTTCGCATAGTAAAATTACTGTCATTAGTTCATAAAGTTTCGAATTTTGTTGTTACGAATAGAAGGTGAGTTTAAAAAGTAGTGTTGTGTTATTGTGTACCATAAGGTAAGATTTATTATTAAAAAAAATAATATCCGTTTAAAAAGCTTGTGACTTGGCGAAAAGATACAATGTTTTAATAATAAGAAAAAAATAGTTTTTTTTCATAACTTTGTATTTAAAAATGTTTATAATTCAGGATTTATACAGATTTATTTCAAGAACATTTTTTTCGTATTCACAATCATTTTATCGATTAATCTATCCTAAATTTAACTGCCAAGATGTGCCAAGAGTAAATATATATATTGTTTTAGGTACCATGTCAATAGAAAAATCTCTCTTGTTTTCTGCTTGGTGTGAAGGCAATTCTTTGAAGAACAAAAATGCATCTGTTTTGCCATTTGTTCTGAACACGCTAAATTTAGGGCAACATGTTGGCGACGAACATTATAATGAAATAGTGAAAATTATTAAAAAATGTAATTATTATTATTATTACTCTTTGTCTAAATGTGTGGGAACACGGTCAAATAAGGAACCATTTATCAAAGAAGTTCTTAATTTACTTCGAGAGCGTACTTTACAGGCATCAGAGTTTGATGAAAATATTAGTCAGGATGATGATATCATCGATATTATGTCTCTAAAAGGGTACCTACATAGTGAGGCATCTCGATGCGATGTTCGCCGCGATGCATCCTACGCGCACTTACTCGTTTGCAGTGCTTAGAACGTGCGCGTAGGATGCATCGCGGCGAGCATCGCATCTAGATGCTTCACTATGTTTGTACCCTTAGTAGTGACGAGGATATCGATAGTGATTAAATAAAAATATTATTACATAAATTTCTCTAGTAAAATAGTGTTATTATCATTTTATTTATATTTGTTAAATGTTTTAGGTTGTTTTTTTCATTGTTCAAGCTAATTTTTACTTTCAATTAACTTTAAAATTAAAAATTAAATTTAGTAAACCTTCTAGATACTAATAAATTCACTTACAAAAAAGTAACGAACTACAGTTTTTGTTTGAGTTCGATATAATAAAATGAAAAAAAAATAATATATTTCGTAAGACACCCTGTACAAGCATAAAATGAAAGAAAATATCATTATCCCACGCATTTATTTATTTTCTTACCAAACAAATTTATTTTTGTTTTAAAAAATAATTTAAATTTTAAAGGCATTATTTATTACCGCCTAAATTGGCGAAAATGACCTATGTGCGTCGGTTAGAATTGCTTCCTAACGTTTCGCTAGCACGAGTGGCTAGCATCTTCAGAGGTGTGTTTGCTCCGACTGCTCACACTAGACTGATGCCTCCGCGTCGTATCTCCGTACCGTGTCACCTCCGCGTAGGTGCCAGCGCCGCCTTTATTTCTCTGTCATTATAGCCATTGGCAAGAAAGGCTTTATTTAAATGGCTTAGTTCCTCTTGGATGTGTTCTTTAGACGCATTTGTGCTAAGGAATACATCCAAGAGTAACTAAGCCATTTAAATAAAGCCTTTATTGCCAATGACTATAATGACAGAGAAATAAAGGCGGCGCTGGCACCTAGGCAGAGGAGACCTAATGTCAATGAACAGGAAAACACCGTTAATAAGGCCTTCCTTCCATATGTTTCCCAGGTCACCGATAGGATTGGTAAAGTTCTCAAGAAGCATAACATCAAAACCATATACAAACCTATCCGGAAAATAAAGGATTGCTTAAGACCAGCCAAAGACAAAAGGGAACCATTATCCTCTGCAGGGATCTACCGTATACCTTGTTCCTGTGGTAGCGTATATATTGGAACTACCAAACGCTCAGTAGGAACGAGACTTACAGAACACAAGAGAAGCTGCAGATTAGGGCAAACAAAGAAGTCGGCCGTAGCAGAACATGCTCTAAGAGATGGTGACCACAATATCCAATTCGAAGACACCCAAGTCATTGCCACAACATCTGGATATCGTCTGGTCAAGGAAGCTGTTGAAATTCACAAACACCCAAATAATTTCAACAGGACGGAAGAAACTTTCTACCTTAACAGAATTTGGCATCCAGCTATATTTAGGACCAAAGTAGCAGCACAGAGAAGTAGATCTAGGGAAAAACTGAACTCTGCAGGGAAAAAGGGAATTTTTTAGTATTTGAGGGAATTTTTTAGAATTACAGGGAATTTTTTAGTATTCTAGGGAATTTTCAGAAAATTTTATTAAATTGTGTTTCTTAAATCGAAATACATTTTTAAAGCAAATATATCTTGCACCTATTACTGACTAGGTAGGGTATATAGTGTATTCGTTATAATATTACTCGGAATATATTATTTTTTGTTCAATGTTTTTGTTTTGTTTATTTTGTGTTCTATATAGTAATATCATGTAATATTATTATGTTTACAGAATGGTTTTCAATATAATATAATCTACAAATTATAATAGGTAATATTTTTTTATTCAAAATCTGAACTAAATAGTTTACTATACTTATTTATTTATGAAGGAAACACGTACTCGTACTCGTAGATACCAGATAAAATACCTGCACATTAAAAAAAACATATAAAAAACTTTTTTAAATAGGAAACCGGGAAAACTCTAGGGAAATAAAACGTTTTCTAGGGAAATTATAGGGAATTTTGGAACTGAGAATCTAGGGAACTTCTAGGGAATTTTTTGAGATTATGCTAGGGAAATAAAAATATTTAACCTGGCAACACTGCTAGTGTGAGCAGTCGGAGCAAACACACCTCTGAAGATGCTAGCCACTCGTGCTAGCGAAACGTTAGGAAGCAATTCTAACCGACGACGGTCTAATAACCCGAAAAAACTAATTTCTTCAAATGATGGCCGCGAAAGCCTAAACTACTACATTATAATTATATAGTTACTAGTTAAATAGATATAACGAATTTTTCATTATATTTAATATATTATCCTAAAGTTCATACTTAGTATCATCGTTGATTGAAGAAATAAGAAGATACGCAACCTTATGGGCGATTTCGTGGCACAAAAGATGTCCGAGATGTAGCTGGCGTTACTGTCAGGGTGTCTGAGATTTAATTTAGCTCTGCGCGCTGACACGCGTTTACAGCGTAGCGGATAAAGTTAGCTTTCAGTCGACAAAGTGGGTGGTTGCCTGAGACAATGCTGCCAGAATTACGGATTAATCCGTAGATTTGCGGATTTTGGGTACAGTGCGTTAATAATACGTAATTTAATATAATATTATAGGATTAAACAAAGAACGGCGTCAGAGATGGCTTGGAAATGAAGATCACTGTTATTTCATATGTAAAAATTACGGTAAATGGCAATAATCCTCATTTCCAAGCCAACTAAACGATTTTTTTCGATCATACGAAATATTCAGTATCTATAAAAGAATTTTTATTTTTGTTATTTATTTTATGTTTAACATGAATAAATTTTCAATACATAAACGCGGATTTTTCATCCAAAGATATTTGCGTCAAACGTATTACAGATATTACTAGTAAATAGAAATTGACCTCAAATCCAAGGAGGCAATAGAGAAAGAGAGACATATCCTCTATTATAGATACGGGACAACACCGGTATCAGATCTAAGGAGAGACTTTAGTTAAAGAGGTGGAGAAAATGGAGACAGATCCTCCACCTCGCGGGTTCCTCAGCCGGAGGCAAGCTCCTCGAATGTGAAGGGTGGTACGGAGGGCCAAACTCCAACCGTGGAAGGGTTTGTACTCTCAGAGGAAAAATTGTTGTCAGAAGAAGATGGGAAACAGCCTTGCCACGATTTCGCCCTTAGGTTGCATATCTTTCCAATACTTACAATCAACGGTATCATGTATATCTAGTGTGACCGATGCAAGAGTTTTTATATTAAGAGTTCTTAAAACTAATATATCACCTATTTCTAAATCTAACTAATCTAAGAAGCGCATTTACAAAAGCATTATATGTATAATACTTCAAAGAAATAATACCACTGAACAAATAACAAATAATTATAAAATAAAAAAAGTAGTCAACTAGCTTGAACATTAAAGATTTTGAATACAAGTTGACATATATAATACAGGAAATATTAACTTGCAATTTGATTTACTATACTTTGCAATTTCTGAGCATGTAAAATTATTTCATGCTATCAAACTCTACATAATTACTGCTGCATATAATATTGAGAGCAGTCATCAATTGTATATACAAAGAAAATATTAACTATATGATGTAATTTGTTGAAATATAATAATTTCAATCATATATTATACAAAATGATGATCACTTTCTTAGGCCTTTATGGACAACTGGTGATAGAGTGGCTCTATCGATATAAATTATTTTAATCGTTACTGAAACCGTTATTTAGAAAAGTAACTAAATGTAAATAATATTCATATGTGAAATTATTGAAATTGTACTAGTGTTTTCTAAATATTATATAAAATATTCTATTTTGCTTTGTAAACCAACTAAATGACAGCTCTTATGACAGCTAATTGTTTGTACCATTCAAACTAATGCAGCTAAAATAACGAATTGCACGGTAAGCAAGAAAATAAACAAACTAAGTAACATAGAATTAGCTGTGTTAGAAACACACCGGTCGAAGCATGTGCGCCGACCGAAGCAAGACGAGATGGACAAAATTGGCATCGTGACAGCCCGGGAAGCTCAACCCCTTCATCTATCCAACCACACAATACATATTTAATTATACAAGCCTTGTAATATGAGCTTATTGTTAAAAAAACACTTAACTCCAATTAATTATAAAATAGAATAATAAACATTATTAAATTTTAGAAGTTTCTTTTGAAGACTAAGCTATCCATATCTAGAGAATTAGAGTTGATATAAAATACTAGGAAGAGTGATTTTGGAACAGTTCCAATTGTGGAACAGTTATCATATTCCGAAAATCACTGTTTCGGACGATGTCGATGTAGATATATGCCCGTTGCCGATGCGTGACGGCGCGGCGGCGCGCGGCGGCTTTATTCAATCAGTCTATGTTATGAAAGTGACTAGCGGAACCGCAAGAACAGGTATTTGGAACTTTCCCAAGAACGGAACAGGGACTCGTCGCATCTAAAAAAATGGCCAAACGCGTCATATATCTATCTTATTTTTTGGCGGGGAACGCCTCCTCGGCATTAGAAAATGCTGCGCGAAATAATTTCAAATATCATTTTATAGCGTTAGAATAGAAATGTCTCGCTTACGGATGAGCAAAACCTCCATTGACAAGTCATGGCGGTCGCAATGCTGTTGTGTTGCAATGACGCGGTGGGTTGTTCTTTAGACTAGAAGAAATATAGTTCTAAGCAGGTCCAGTTTTTTATATTATTATTTTTGTCAGTATTATTACGCAGGCAAATTTTACAGGGCAAGTTGGACTTTAAATCACTTGAAATACTTCTCTAGATATGGATAGTAAAAATGTATCAATACATATATAATATTTAACTCTATTATTTATAAAATATGTTTATTAGTAGATTGTTTTAAGTTATAACACACAAAATTTTAAGCCATAATATTTAAATTAAAATAAGAAGGCATTTCTTTTTATTTCGGAAACTTATTACTATTGTCAATACCGATTCTTCTTATGTGAACAGAAATAACTTGACTAAATTTGTTTAAAAGTTACATTAAAAGTAGTTGTAAATGTTCATATTTATTATATTGTTAAAAGAGTCATATTAATACAGTTAACAGAAGTGACAACAGGAAGGAAGAGCCCACCATATGGATAAGGAATTATATTCTTATTATCCTATATGGAAGTTAATCATTAACTTCTTCTGGTAAGATAAACAACATTATTTATCTTAGGTATATAAAATATTGTCCTGTATATGGTATTATTGCTATAAATTAAGGAACATCTTTGACTATATTTTGTTTTACTGTCAAAAAATGTCCGTCGCTTAAAACCTGTTTTACCTTTAAAAACATTAATTTTTATATTATGCCAATGTCTACAAATAAAGTTAACGATTATTAAGTAGCAAGGTTTCTTTTAATTAAATTTATATGATAATACAGCTAGAGATTCAATAAATATTAAAACTTTAATTAAAATATATTAACTATAGATGAATATGTAAATTATATTAGTATATTTCTTAACACAGAAAATATTTCATTATATACATACCATATTACTTTTTTAATATATTTATTGCATATTAAGTTACATACTGATTATATCATTATTGCATTAAAATATCGGCAAGAATAATTCTAAAGATAATAGTTATATATGGGAGGTCCAAAGTCAATGACTACTTTACCAATTTTAGAGATCATATAATAACCATGGCGGCCTGACAAATTTATTTCTACATGGAGTATATTGGAATACTGAAATATTACAGTTATTTTTATGTTATACTAATGAACGATTCTGCTGTGGAGAATAAATACTAATAATTGAACAGAGAAAAAAAAAATAGTGACAAACAAGGCTCAGAATCTATCTAAAATTCATTCATACATAGATATGTAGATACTATTTCAATAGATTTTTGTTTAAATACAAAAAAATACCATTTGTTTAAATACAAAAAAAATCCCCGTAGTTTTTCGTCAAAAGGACGGATTACTTGGGTCGTTAAAAAAATAATTTTTAACGACCACCCTAAAATATAAATTATATTAGACGCCTTCCTTAGCTTTTTGTTTCAAAAAGTTATATGTAAGTTGGAGGTTATGAGTCAGTAATTATTAAAAAATTATAAAAACCACAATTAAGCGGTACTGATTTTCCCATGATACATAGCATATTCTTTGGATAAAACATACATATGTATGAACAAACAGCTATAAATCAGAATGTGCCATGTCAATTTAGTAGTTAGATTTGTGCTGGAAAATAAACGTAAGATATTTTGACAGTGTAATTCTTGCATACATGCAATGCCTTCATTTTTGTGATACGCTTATTCCTCTGTTTACAAGTACAGAATTTACAACAACAGGATTGTATAATGAGAAAGCAAACCGCCATAGGTTAATAAATTCATAAAATATAGTAAACTGATAAAATAGTCATTATATCCAAGAAATATTAATATTATAGTTAGTCATAAACAGAAGATGAGCAAAAATATTATTTAATTTACTCATTACTTTTACTAAAAATTTTGAATTTTCATCTATAAAACTTACGACACTGGCGCCCCTTCCACTTTGGCTACTCATGCCCGGCTGGGGACTACCCGGTTGGGTATCTTTGCTTTTATCTCCTGCACTTTGTATGACCAAAAATGGTGGAACGGTCGCATCTGGACAGTCTTTTGTGAGATTTAAGATATCTAATTCGCATTCATCTTCCAACCAAGAGGGTAATTCTAGAAGGAGTGATATATCCATTTCCTGAAGTTCTCTTGGAGTTGCTATAACTATCAGTCCGCCGTTTAACTAAAATATATAAGAATGCTTTAGTTTTCTTATATTCGTTTTAGAGTTTCAGGTTCCGAAAATGTTCGAGTTTAAACTCTATCATATTTTTAACCGTTCTCAAGATAAATAATATATGTAATTCAAAAAAATATAAAATTCGTCCCCTCGGAGGGGTTGTGGAGGATAGAACTAAAAATACTATTATGTAGATGTAAGAAATTGATATATAAAACTTCAAAATATAACTTGGAATGTTCGCATAGAAAAAGGGAAATAAGGGATAGGAAATAGTAGAGTTAGGCTACAACGTGAATTGACAGGTATAATGAAGCGCGGGACATAGGAAATCCCATGTAAATTTTGAAATGGTCAAATATTATCTCCCAGATAATTTTATGCAAAAATTCTATTAGACTTTTTTGAAGAAACGTTAAAGTTGTACTCTTGTCTAGAATTTAGTTTTATTTGGAATAGGCATCTAAAAGTTATTTGCAAAAATCTACCTTCAAATTACTAAAAATTTATAGTACAGCCCAGAGAAAGCTACAATTAAATACCAGCAAAAATATGATTTTGTTATTGTCAAATTCGATGTCACATTTTTTTTTCGTTTACAAGAATTTCTGTGGTTTGAAAAAGATGGTTATTTTTTTTTCTGCATTGAAATGATCATCTACAATAGAATTAGTTGAACTGAGAATAGTATTCGCGGTGTATGACTTGTTTGCTGTTCATTATGATACAAACTTGATTCACATACGAAATATTTGTAACGAAATATTTGTACTTTATTAAACTATAATAATTAATAAAATGTTTACATAACTCCCCATTCACAGCCAAACACTACACCAAATGATTGTGAAATTCACACCTTACAATACAAAGCTGTTAAGAGGAGAATCTTTAGCATTCCACAGAGGTGTCGTTTTCAGTCTATCTAAATTTCTGTATTTAACAGAAAACAACGGCCTACGGCCGAGTCGGACGCTGCTGACACGTATACGTAGACGTAAAGAATCTTATTCCCGTAAAAATATAAGAAATGCGCATGCGTACGTAAACGTTTACGTGTTTGTAGTATGTGCTGTTGTTCTCTAATATGCCCATAAAGACGGGTTTTTAGTGTGCTCCACAGCATACACAACATATCTGACACAGCGGGAATACTATTTAATAGGTAATTTTTTCAGAAGTTGCTAAAATCATAATAATTATTTTATACAAAATTGCTCTGTTTAGTACCTTCCTTTGAATAAGAAGACTAAGGAAGGAGCATAATGCTATCCATGTATTCATGCATGGTGGGCGGAAAAAGCACCATAAAAGCACTCTAGGGTGGGGATCCTTGACAGTTCTGTTTGACGATTCATTTGACACATTTGAATTTGATTTGAAATTTTGTGGATTTGTCAGTCTCTACGGAGCTTATTTTATGTTATTTATTATTTATTCTACTACCGATAGTTGTATAAAGGTAGTAAATCTAGATGGAAATTGTGGCGGAACTTAAATTAACAGTGACACTATCGCGATTTATCGAAAAAGACCAAAATAGTTGGTTGTGTAGCGTGCGGTAGATCTCGGCAAAAATTGAGTGAAATAATGGAACAACTTTTCGCTAGTAAGTGACTATATAATATACATACGTGTAGTAAACCGATCATTTATGAAATTCACTTAAATTAACTAAATTATATATTTTTCTTGCATTTTAGCTTTTATTTATTACTTGTCAAAGATTAGACGTCAAAGAATTTAGATACGTTAATTTGACTTACCTGCTTCAGTAGCGTATCGGATGTTTGTCTTAATAAATACTTATTATAACTTATCTATTTTTATTAGAATTATATATTTTTATAACAATTTTAATAACTACCAACTTATTTAACAATTTATTCACAACGTAAAATAAAACAACAAATTATTGAGTCTACCCTACATCATAGTTTTACATTTTTTAAATAAAATTAGAACGACACTGATAAACCGGAATTTAAGTCGGCCATATTTGAAGCCCATCGCGGTGTACCTAAGATTTTTGATATGCTCCTTCCTTAGTCTTCTTATTCAAAGGTACCTTCAAATTTTTGTAAACAAAATGTGACATCGAATTTCACAATGACACAATCACATTCTTGCTTGTATTTTAATTGTAGCTTTTTCTGGGCAGTATTATAAATTTTACTAATTTGAAGGTATATTTTTGCAAATAAGTTTTGAATGACTATTCCAAATGAATCGAAATTCTACCCAAAAGTATAACTTTAACGCCTCTTCAAAAAAGTCTAATACAATTGTTGCATAAATCATCTGGGGAGATAATATTTGACCGTTTCAAAATTAACATGGGCTTTCCTATGTCCCGTGTTCCGATGCACCGCCCTGTATATAAATAACATGTCTCGATTTTTTTACGAATATTATACCTTTTCTAACGAATTTGTAAGTTTCTTTAGTTTGTATAGTACTTTACTACGCTTATCCGCGAATAACAAGACGGTAAATTATCAATATTCTTGGCAGAGCTTATTCTGTGCATACTGTGTTATGGGAAACAGTAGAGAACGCAGAAAGCCTTGCGGCCTATCACTGTGATATGCTACTTTTATTTCACCTTGAAAAAGTCACAGGTAATGATCTTTTACCCATCTCTAGTTAATGGATCAAATTATCATAATGGTACAAAAGAATCGAAGGTGTGGTAGAATAAAAGTTTTTGGGAACAAACAACTTATATATGAAGATGATACGAATGTTGTAAGTTAAATTAAAGCTTAAAAGAAAAAAGAAATATGTTGAAAACATATATTTTTATTATTTTATCCTTACCTGATTAAGTGAAAACGCTGATATAGAATCTTGTTCTTTATGAATAATTCTAACAGGTTCCAGAGCTGGTTCTGATTGAGGAAGAACTTCGTCCAAAGCACTGATAGACCTACATTTTTAAATATTATAATTAGAATTAAACCTGTAATCATAATCAACGATTTATAAATTAAACTCGGATACAGGTTTATGACATTGGAAGCTTAAGATGAATATATTAAAATTGGAAAATAATTTAAAAGATAAAATTGAAACACACGAGCTAACACTAAATGAGATTAACACTAGATGAGATTTGAAAAATATAACAATTATTCTTGATGATATTTTTTTGTATAGTAAAAGGCAATAATTTGCTATGACTTGAGTTGTAGTATTTTTTTAGTTTTGTTAGTTTTCCCAATTTAAGAACAAATTTTCAATAAATCCGATCCACTTTGTACTTGTTTATAAAAATATGGAAAATGTTTTCACAATACCGGGTGTTTTTCAAAAGTGGCATCATAATTTGGTAGCACATACTTATGGTATGTCGAGTCAAATTGTCGTTATGAACACAGCCATTGAAATTTCAAGTACTATTCTTATAGGCAAACCTTTAGGCAAACATATCAAAAATTGACATTGATGTCATTCTATTCAGAATGTAATTTTTTATCAAATAGTAAAAAATAGTACTGAGAGTACTATTTCAAAATCAAAAGTTGTAGTAATTTCCAGTGAAACAGGAAGTGACCAAAAATAATTGAATACGTCAATCAATCCTGATTTATGTCATATACTAACATACCAAATCTCATTTTTTACCTAAAAACACTTTTGAAAAACACCCAGCATGGTAGAGATGCGCATTGATTGAATGAATTATTTGAACGAGTCTTAAAGTTGTGAGAATCAACTCATTGCTTAGAGATGAAAAAATATCGATCTTTAATTTAAATTTTACAAACCCAATAAAGAGACTTAAACAAACCCTCTGTTTGCAAAAAGACGTTTTATAGACCATTTAAGTTTAATATTATTTATCTTATTTATTTCTTCTACTCCAGAAAAAAATACCTTCTCTTGCCAAACACTGCCCTAATGAAAATTTCCTGCACTGATTCTTGATGAACTAAATAACTCCACAAAACTCGTGCCGGACCCGCCGAACTTTTGGTAGAGAATGGAGTGTTATGTGGTTCCAAAATTTGTCTATAAAAAATTAATAAGAACATGAAACATCAAAAAAAGTTTTCATCTACCTGTATTTTTGAATAGGTGGTCCAGTTGTATTTTCAACAAAACACCCTGGAATATATTCTGGAGGTGTCTGCCTTAGCTCAAGTTCTCTTCTCAGGTTTTCTTGCCACTGTGTTAAGCTTCGCAAAGCACTATGGATTAAAGGACTTGATACCGGTAATTCTGATGTTTCAAGACAAGCAACCTAAATAAATAATTTTCTTATTAAGAATCTTGATACGTATGTACACCCCATAAAAGAAAATTGTATAAAAAGTTACACATATTTTCTTACACATAAAAATGTAACTGAGCATTTATATAAAATACCTCATAAATAATATAACTGGATGAATCGAAAAAAAAATTACTTGAACATTAAAGCATCCTATAAAGGGTAAATAGTAATTTATGTAGATTTTATTCAAATTTAAAATGTTTTGTATTCAGTGTAACGTTTCACTCCGTTTTGTCGTTCCGTTGTATCAAAGGCGCCACCTTGTACATTTTAAACTATTTTCAAAATATTTAATTTATAAAATTACATAAAAACTATATTACAGCTTTTTATATTTTATTTAAAAATAGAATTTTTGATGTTTATTATTTAATAAAGATTTAAAAATACGTAGATAAATTGCAGTGGTAGGAAAAACCGATTAATTTAAATAATCGAGTACTCGAGTTTCAAGCGATTTCAATAATCGAGCGATCGCTCGAGCGAAATTTCGCTCGTATGTAAAAATACGGTTTTTCGCCGTCGCTTGTCGTACTCGCAACTCGTAACGCCAAGCAGTAAGCTGCGTGCGCAGAGCACATATTCTTTCGGTGATGAATGGCCAGAAGCAAGCGACGAGTAAAGCCGGAGTCTCATGCATCCGAAATCCGATGGTACGACATCCGAAATTTGAAGTTATCCTGTGAAATAAAAAAAGCCTGTCACATACGTTTAAATAACATACATAAGTTCGTTCCGAAATTTGACAGTTTTGACATTTTTCTGCTGCATTGAATAGAGATTCATGTCATGTTTTATTGGAGAAACACTTATAAAAATAACTTCCTCGCCAAATATCCCGAAATTGCCCACTTCCCACTAAACTTGTTTTTAAAAACCAATGTTTTCAAAAAAAGTGAGGTTAAAAAACACACGATATCGTACAAAAGTTAAACAAAATTTAACTTTATACGACGTCGGACGATTAGTTAAAAATATCGGATAAAAACTGGTGTCAAAATATTTCAACCAATAGGAGCACCGTCGGATCGTCGTGTCATCGGATTTCGGATGCATGAGACTCCGGCTTAAAGCTTGATTTTCATGCATCCGTTAAACGTTGATACGATGGTCCGACGGTGCTCTGATTGGTCATAGCGTCTTCGCGCCACTTTTCATTCGTAAATATTTTACTTCAGCTCGTCAACGGACCCGTTCATGCGATAACGGACGTTTTGACACTTTTTTGACAAATTTAATCTAACCTTAATAAAAATATAAGTAAAATAGCTAAATCGTTATGGAAACGGAAATATAAAATAACACCGTCGTATATCCGATAAACGGAAGCACGAAAATGCAATAAATTGTAAAAATGTAAAAAATTTAATTTAATGCATAAAAATGTAAAAAATTTAAAAACTGCGTTATTTTCTAACCAATCAAAGTCTTTAAATTCTACCAATAAAATTAATATCGTATCAACGTATCGTCGGACAACGGATGCATGAAAATCAAGCTTAATTCGCTTGATTTAGTTCAGTTTAAAGTATTGTCGATGTAGGTCGTAAAATTTTGTCACTCGGATAGCAACGGATGACAATGTACCCAAATTCGCTCGTTTCGTATCAATATGTCACATTCAAATTTAAAATGGGAATTCGATTTATTTCTTAATAGGATTGCTTGCGTTCGTCGCCCGTTGCAAGTTACGAGTTATGCATCGGTCGTTCATAATCGAGCGATGTCGATTATTTCAATAATCGAGTACTCGAGTGAATTTTCGAGTGCGTCCACATTGCTCGTGATCCTGCTCGCGCTCTTGCTTCTGATTATGCTTGCACTTCCTGTTTGTTGTGTCTCAAGATTTTTCGGCTCGCGAGCAACGGCGTCCACATTGTAACGTAATCCTTGCGTTCGTGCTGTTCGGGCATGGATGATACCGAAGTATTTTTAATAGTGGCTGCTAGTGCAATCATTATTGCAAAACGAAGGAGACAAAGAGAAAAAATGGCGGTGTTGGATGACTAATAATTTTAAGTAGATCCCAGCACAGTGAAAGTGACCTTCTACGCGATTTACAAACAGTCAGAATGTTTTTTAATAATTTTTATCGCATTACTACTAATTTTGAAAGATTTATTAATTCAGTTGGCCCCCGTATAGAAAGAAAAAATACAACTTTTAGGAAGTGTATTCCGGTTAAAAGAAGAGTTGAAGAAATATATGTTGAAGAGCGAGCGTCGCGGGCTGCGCGAACGTCTCGCTCCGGCTGTTTGCCATGTTTTTCGTGACGCACCTTAAGAAGAAGAAGTACACAGATGTACACTTACCGATAGAAATTCATTTAATCTATTTTGTGCTATTTTCAAGGTCGCAAGTTTTAACACAAGCCAAGAATAAGATGTCGGATCAGAATGTTCATTATTTACAACCTTGGCAATTTTGGGAGTTTCGAATACATCTTCATCGTCTTCTTCGTCTTCGTTTTCACTTTCTACCTCATCAATATAGTAACTACACTCAGGCTAAAAAAATTATCAGCAATATTGACTAAGTAGTATTTATTTTTTTTATTTTCTCACTTTCTGTAACAGAAAAGCTAGAATGCTCATTTCGGGAGGAACGAATTGTTCCCTATAAGTTGGTTTGTCTTCCTTCATAACACTTGGTTGATGACCCAATAATTTTGTGTTTAGTTTAACTCTTTGTTTATTTAACCAATTCGCTGCGCTGCTGGAGTCTTCGCTCGGAGTTTGGACGCTAGTCTGGGTCTGTAAGCTTGGATGATTGCTTTGGCTGCTTGTGACACTCGCTGTACGTAGTAGTTTTTTTACGCCACCACCAAAAAGTCTAAAATTATGCAAATACGGAAAATAAGACACCATTAAGTTAACGAATTAAAAATATATGTATGCATATTTTTTCACAGAACTCGTTCGTCCATTGATTATTTTTTAGAAGTCTAATATAGATACAAATCTGAATATTCAAGGTTAAATATTTAAGTTAAGAAAAGAGTTAAGACGTACAGAATATCCCGTTTTGAGTATTTTTTTGTTCATTAAGACGTTAAACGCCGCAATGCAAAAATGTTTTTCTGTTTGAGGCTGGCCGATTATTTACTGGCAGAATTGATTCTTATGAAGCTGCGTACCTACATATTTATGCAATCAAATAGTCAGCTGATCGGCTCCATAAGAATGAGTGTATTCTTTTCCGGCACGAAAAACGGACACCTTAAAATTTTCATGTATTTTAAAGTTTAATATTGTCTTTTAATGTTTATGTTTTGTTCACGTGGACCGATTTTGATAATTTTTTATGTAATATGTAGCTAAATTATTTTACTTTTTAGTATCTCTTTCTAAACTGAAAATGAAAGTTCCCATCTGTCAATTATACGAGGGAAAACAAAATGTTGATACTTTGGTGAATGTTTGATAACCCCTGTGGAATATATTAAGACAGCAAGGAATTTAAAAGTAATTTTATCATCTAGGTACATCCTTTCTCCATAGTTCGTTTTTTGGTTCATCTCAAGCTTTATTTTTATTCAAAATATTCGGTTTTGAAGAAGACACTAACATTTTTTCGTAATTTTTACATTAAAACCATGCTTTTGCTTTTGGTCCTAGACAACAGACCTAGTAAGGTCCCGAAGCAGGCCTTTGTGACATAAGATTTGCTTCGTTTAATCTTATTTTTACAGTCCGTTCACTTTACATGTACGTTCCTTAGGTGCAATTCATTATAAATCTGAAAAGCTGGAAAACGGCTAGCGATAAGCTTACAATAAGTTTCGATTCGAAGTTTTAATACGAAGATTCATGGACTTCTAGTATATACGAACTTTCGAGGAAGCGACTGCACTGACTTCGTGCACACCTAAATCTATTAGCGACGTAATTTTGATCTCTATAATCTTCAATTAAATAAAAAATACGGGATACAACTTCTAGACTTAAAACCATCTTTGCTAGAGTATCTGCCCAACAGTCAACAGACAATAATAATATGATTTTTCCATAACAGTGACATTGGATAAATCATAAATACTATTTCGTAGGTTGCAGTTGACTGATCCTAAAAGCAAAGACATGGTTTTAATTTAAAAATTACGAAAAAATGTTAGTGTCTTCTTCAAAAGCGAATATCTCCAAATAAAATAAACGTATTGAAATGAACCAAAAAATTAACTTCGAGAAAAAATGCACCTAGATGTTAAAATTATTTTCAAATTCCTTGCTTTTTTAACATATTCCACAGGGTGTCCCAAACTCTCATATTTTTTAATATGATATTTTAGGTGTTTGAGCCATTATTACGTGATAAAATGTGATAGTTTATGTTTATGAGGCAATATTTCGTGATAAAATATAAAGAAATGTGTGGAAGTTATCATATACGATTTGAAGTTGAACTTCAACCTTCAATAACTTTCAAACGAGTCGATTAAATGAAAATTTATATCAGACCTATGGTTTCCCCGTGTTGTTTAAATAAAAATAATTTTATAATAAATAATAGGGAAATAGAAAATAGAAAATCACGATGAGGCACCTCTTTATATTAATATTAAAAGCTCAAACTTTAACAGAATTTTTTTTTCATCATCCTGAACTATATTTTTACGAAAAAAAATATTTTTTTGTGGTGCACCCTAGTGTATGTTACTATACAGGGTGGTCCGAACTGTATTCCGGAAACTTCGGCAGCATATTCTGCAGATAAAAATAAGTAAAAAATAGTTCGTATAAATGGATGTCCTAAAATGCTTAGTTTCGGAGATACAGGGTGTAGAAGTTTCATTTTTATTTCGGTTTTTTCTAAATAATTTCTGAAGTACCGTCAATATTTGGATGAAAATTAGTATCTGGGAGTTTTTTGACATAAGAAATTTGATTTTGATGTCAATATGACTCCTACTAGTAGAGGGCGCTACCTACATATTTTTTAATTGGTTTGAAGAGTAATACCTTTTCGTCCCTACCTGTATGAAGCTACTGAGTAAAAAAAATATACACTTACTACGTTTTTTACGTAAAAAAGGTCTCTTGTTAAAAATCGCTACGAGTAACGGTTTTCGAGATATTTGAAATCGAAATTATCAATACCTGTCATCATTGACATAAATTAAACATGTTGACTAAATAGTTATTAGACTGAAATCATAAATTTGAAATGTTTCGTGCCAAAAGTTCAACAGAAACTGTTTTATCATCATTTTTTGGCAGAAAAAATTATGATTAACTTAAAAAAATAAAAATTTCCCAAATTTATCATTTCAGTCAAAGAACTATCTACTCAACATGCTTATTTTTCGTCAATAATGACAAGTATTGACTATTTCCATTCAAAATATCTTGAAAACAGTTGCTCGTAGCGATTATTACAAAGAGCTATTTTTTACGTAAAATGTCACAGAGATGTATATTTTTGCCCTCGGTAGTTTTATACAGGTACAGACAAAAAGTTATTACATTTCAAAACAGTTAAAACACATGTAGGTGGCGCCCTCTACTAGTAGGAGTCATATTGACATCAAAATCAAATTCCTCGTGTTAAAAAACTCCCAAACACCAATTTTCGTCCAAATATTGACGTTACTTCAGAAATTATTTGGAAAAAATCGAAATAAAAATGAAATTTCTACACCCTGTATCTCTGAAACTAAGATTTTATAGGACATACATTTATACGAATTTTTTTATTTATTTTTATCTGCAGAATATTAAGATATTAATTCAGCCATAATATAGCTGAAGTTTCCAGAATACAGTTAGGACCATCCTGTATACTGTTTTCACTTTTACACCTAAATAACCGGTCGACTCGAAATTGCATGTCAGCGCCTAGCCGTAATCTTAAAAATTGAGAACTGTACATAAAATAGATCCCAAAAAAACTTTTAAAGACCGTTTTGCGTGAAAGATCCTCTATAATACATACCTTCCCCAAACTTCAGGATTGAAAGTATGGGCGGCAACGTGAAACAAGATTACACAATCGCAAGTTACCAAACCATAGATTAGTAATGCTAAATAGGTAGCAGTAAAGGCTTCGCAAAGAAGGACTGTGAGCCTTGGAGTATCTTCGTCCTTTTCTCGAGCGAGTAACGCTCTTAGACCACTGACTCCAGGCCATTTCGCTGGAAACGTTACTATCATAAGAGTTTCATTGACTGATATTTTACGTTTTCGGCCGACAAGATAAGTAGAAGTGATATCCTAAAAACATTGTATGTTATATAAAAACAAATATTCAACGTACATTTATGCGCTTATTTTCACCTGAGATTCTTGAATTGTTGCTTTGAAAGTATCTGAGTCACACAGAGATTGATATATACAAGCTGACAAAGCAATAGCTAAATCTCTCAAAACTAACAACTGGCTTTGGTTGGTATTTGGATTTGGTAATTCTACCATCTGCGAAAAAAAGAATATAAAATATACTGATTTAATTCTATAAAACGGTACTAACTGTTTGAAGCATATCATGTGTCAAGCTTTGCAGGTATCTAATGGGATCTGCTACCACAGTTTTGCTACTAGCAACAGTTGCTGCCAGTAATGGTAAACTAGTTGGGAAAGGCAAAGGACTTAGTAACTGTTGATGTGTTTTCTCTTGTTGCAATTCTTGCAATAAAAGCATCAATTCCATTCTAACTGATGCCAACCCTCCAGTAGCACCGTGTAAGGAACAGTAACTTAAAAGGGTCCTGAGTAATGTCTCGTTAGCTAATAAAAATAGTTATTGTTAAACTCTAAATAAAAACATTAAATCATTAAATTTGATTTAGTGTTTTTATTTTGCTGTGTAACACCAAAGGTTCCAACCCTCAACTGTAATAAACTCTAAAACAAAAGAAAAGCGTTAGAATCTACCTCTTAGCCAGCGTTTCCTCTTTGCAGCTCTTTGAACTTTGGCTTCAAAATCAAGTTTTTCCTGAATTAAAATTTCATGCAGGGTCGGTTTTGGATTGTGTTCGGTGATTTGACCTTCAGGTTCAGGAGATGTTTCTAAATCTGATGATTCAACGACATCAGACGTAGTGTAACTGCACAATTCTCTCAATGCCTCTACTTCTTTTTCTAACCAAATATATAGTTGATAGCGTAACTGTCCACCATCGACTTCAAAACCGGTAGCTAATGTTGATAGTTCTTCCATAAGAATTTTTAGGCAAGCAACAAATTTTAATTGCTGTGCCATAATATCCACCTGGTTCTGAATTTCCTCTTCAATGTTTTCTTTGGTTTCCTCATCTGCAATCTCGTCTTTAGTAACTTTCATTGCTAGACCTCCCGATTCATCTGATTCATTTCCTTAAAAAGTTTAGTTTGATTACATATCGTAGTTTTGTAAGATTTATAATGGAAACATTTTTGTTCAGTTTAGGATATAGGTATTTTATGGTTTATTTTATAATTGGGTGTTGGGTGTGTGCTAAGAGTATATAAATATGAAATCAGAACTTGAATTACAGTGAGATTATTATTGTAAATCTTAAAAAAAGTAAAGGCTTCAAAAATAGTTGAGGAGCGTCACAGACAAAAAAAAAACGAAAAGGGACAACTTTACCCTAGTTCTGAAATTAATTTTGAGTTAACTAATAATTTTATGCTTTTATACTTGCAATTTGGCATTTATTTATCTACTTGTCAAAAATTATTAAAATCTTAGATCTTATAAATTAAAATACATCAATTTTATGGATTTTACTTATAACTGATTCAGTGGCGTATATTTGTTATTAAATACTTATTTTTATTTTTATTAGAAATGTGTTCTTCAACAGAAAATAGTATTTATCCACTCAAGGTAAAATAAAACCAGCAAATTATTGAGTCAGTCCTACTTTAATGTTCTCACACGTTTAAAAAAAATAGGACGCCACTGATAATCGGGGAATACAGCTATTGGATAACAAGGCTAAGGAAGTAGCATATCAGCGTATCAACAAAAGTTGATACGCTGATATGCTATTTCGTTAATAAATATAAAATTATAAAATACAGCAATTGGTTTGGCCCATTGAATAACAAGACTAAGGAAGTAGCATATTAGTGTAACAACAAAAGTTGACTGAGAAAAAAGCTGGGCGCAACTAAGGGAGCCAGGAGCGTCATCAATATTTTGCCGGTGAACCTTGCGTTAAGGGCGGTAAGCCGTCGGTGTCGGTCTTAACAGATAGAGATCCTGCCGCGGGAGATAATTAGAAATATTATTTACAGCCTTAGAATAAAAATATCTAAAGCTCACGCTCAATGATCACCGAACCGTCGAATCGCAAGCAAGACCACAAACCGCATCAGCGCATAGTGAGTATGGAGTTATAATATGTATAGTATGTTTAGGTTTGTATGATTATATTCTTTATCTTGGGGTAGCTTCCTTGATATAAATAGACGCATACTCGCGTATAAAAATGTTTTAATTAAATTATATGCTCACCTTCATCATCACTCCATTTCAGTTCTAAATCATCTGTTTTAACACCATTATTAGCTGGTCCACTCCAATCAAAGCTTGCGGCATTTTGTGGATGACTATCCCAGGAAATAATCCCGGTGGCTATTTCATCAATTTTTTCCTGCTGTTGACCCTTTGGTGATAAAACTAGAAATTATTTTAATATATTAATTGTTTTAAACTAGGTACAGTATGATCAAAAAGCCTTATAATAAACATGCGCATTTATGTGTTCTGTGACACATAAACAATTCTTATGGTAAATTATATTAAACTAGTTGAAGCCTGGCGCATCCGCAACGACATCAGGAAAAAACTATGTACTTTTTATTTTTTTTTAATTAAATGAAAAACAAAATATCCGGCGAAGACAGTTTCTAGAAGAGTCAATTAGCTATCTTTTAGTAAAAAAGCAACTTTCTACAGCAAGTCGTTACTTCAGTAGAGACGACACAGATAAACATTAGCATTTTATATATGTAGATTTTTCGCACGCTTGATTTTAAGACTCTTTGATAGTAAGGTATTTTTATAACATATATACCTGTAGGTGTTCCTTTCACTTTATCAGATACTACATAAGGTAATTTTGATAGTACTTCTAAAGCAAGAGCAGGACATCCAGCTCTAAAATGTCCATGAGCAGTTGCAAAATATAATTGCCTTTCTAAAGGAGTTATTGATTTTTGCCCATAATTAGCCAAATGCTGTCTAACAAGTAATGGATGAGTTCTCAAATATACATAAAAATTAAACACATTTGGGTCAGCCTCTTTAGTTTCCTTAGCTTCATCGTCATGAGCCGGATGCTGTGTACCAGCATTTCCAATTAAAAGAGTGCTTAAAGAAGCCTGATAGTCCTTTAGAGACCATAATGCCATCGATCTTAAAAATGGATCAGGGTGAGCTCTTGTGAGATCTTGATTTTCACCATTTTCATCGCATCCCAATATTTCTTGATACAGTAATTTCTGTAAATTGGGTCCGTCCCCTTCATACAGCCTTGTAATTATAATGGCTAATTGAATATCGTTTATTTTGTGAATGCATATTTCTACGGCGTCCCTCAAATTTCCGGATAGAATAAAGAATGCGGCGGCATGATCGAATCTTTGTTTTCCCAATAGAGCGTACGCGTTCTTTAAAGCTGCCTTACGCCAACGATCTTCTGAGAAATTATTTGAAAAGAACTTTGTCATCCTTTCATCTCTTTTCGATCTAAATTAAAAAAAAATATATTATTATCAATTTTATTCTTTATTAAATACATTACCTGTAAAGTCCCCATAACAGATTCTTTTTGTTCATCGCTAAGTAATACAAAGCGGCATCCATAGGATCTTCGTTAGCTTGATATGCCGCTTTAGCTAGAATTTGGACACACTGCCTTAACAAGTTTAAATTTCGTATCCACCATCCTGCACCTAATTCTCTTAATTGCGTCCAGGTGGGTTCTCCTTTTGCATAACTAGGTATTAAATTAAGCAGCTCTTCTTGGCTTTCAGAATGGAACGCCCAAGCTAGGTTATTATTACCCACGCCATTTTTTTGGAACTGAGTTCTCTGAGCCAAAGGCAAGCATCTCAATAAATAATTATAATGCTTCATGGCCAATAAAAATCTTAAACCACAATCATCTAAGTTTTCCGTTAGTAAGTCTTCTGTTTGATTCATGAGGTTTTCTTTGGCCATTGCTGATTTGGCTGCATCGATAGCAAACCTTTCTGCTAAGTCAGTATCACATGTTGATACAGTATCGGCTAGTGCTAATAAATGCATCTGGTCTAAACTGGATAGCCCTGGTAAATGAATATGAGTTAATAGGCGAGATAAGATTCTTCCCTGTTTTGGTGTAAAATGGGTCAATCCGACGTTCCTTTCTGATAGTCGCCGTTCTCTTCTTACAACATCTTCCTCGTCATCTAAAATGTTGTCTAAATCTTCCATTACAATATTATTGTCAAATAATTCATTATAATCTTTCTTTTCTTCTTGTACTACAGCTGTCTCTTTATCAGCCGCAAGTAATGTCCACAGTGGTAGTGGTGGAATATTATTTATTTCATCGTAATCTAAAGTAATTTCGCTAATACTGGCTCTATGTTCAGGACTCCCTGCTGGATAACTTACTGATAATGTTCTAGATCTAGCCCATCCTTGAATCTCTTCAGATGGCTCCTGATTACCTCCAATACACTTAACAAGATGAGCTAAAATAGCTTTAACCCATCTTATTTTACCAGAATTTAATAACTCCATTAACTGTTTAGGATGATATTGGGGTAATACAGGACAAGCAATTCTTGATGCTTCAAAAAGGCCATAGTCAGGCATGTAATCAAGATTTTGATCTTTGTTTCGTTTTCTATCCAAAATTTGAAGATTCACAGAACTGATTCTGCCTAATGTAGGAACAGCAGCCAATTTTCGTTGATTCTCTTGTGTTAATGTTCTAAAATCCATTTCTCTACTACTGTCAGTTTCAGTTATAGCAGCTTGTTTTATTTTAGGATTCTGGGGTTTCCACTGCGTGTAAACGTGCATTTCAGAATCCATACCGACCACTAAAATTCCATCTCTAACCCAGCTTATTTGCATCGGTAATGCTGGTAAGCCGTCTGCAGTTTGAAGTTCAATTTTTCTTAATGTCATCCATTTAAAATCATCTACAAAAAGTGGCTGAGCTAGTGAACTAGCTTTTCTTAATATAGGTCTAAAGTTATTCAATGATTCCTTCATTGCCTTAACATTTGCTTGAGCTAAATCAGTAGATAATGGTGTATATAAAAGAATTTTACTTCCGCACGCTACAGTTAAAATATGAGATCCGTCCTCATTAGAAACCCAATCCAGTTGTACAATATGTTTTTGCGTTAACGGACAAATATTTCCCATTTCAGAAATAGATTTTCTTAATGACTGTAAAGTTGTAAAACTGGGAACAGCCAATAAAGTAGGCTTTATTGGCTCTGCCGATAGCAAATTTGGTCTATCATCTCCAGATAAAGTATGCAAGACTTCATTTATTCTCTGTTTTTTCTTCAACGTCCTAGAATCGTACAGATAACTTAAGTCCAAATGTTTGTTGATATCTATTCTAGGTAGGTGAATATTTTTTAAGTGAATAACATCTTCCAGAATCCATTCAGTTCCTCCTGTAGATTCGCACTCATAAATAGCAACACATAGATTTATGTATCTGGAATCTTGGTCATTTTTATTAGGTCTTGTAAAACTTTTACCATATTTGTAGGCGCAAGCAAGTCGTCCAGAATATGCAACACAAATGTTTAGTACTTGTCCTTCAATCTCGATAGCGGATTCTTTAACCATGTTCCACTCATTCCATACCTTTCCGAAATTTACTACAACACCGCCTTCTTCCAACATATACGAAGATAACTCATTAACATGATTAACATTACTAGACACTGCCCAGAAACGAATAATTCCATCGGAACAAGCTGTCGCAAAACAATAAGGAGCAAGACATGCTGGATAGATTGAGGCAGAACTTAAATGACCTGCTGCGGCCGTGGCGTGAACGATTTCAACGCCATCTGGTAATGGAAGTATTTGTTTTACTTCTCTTGTAACAGTTAATGTTATATGGGGACTGACTTTAGATTGTTTTAAATGTAAAGATTCCACACTGTTTCTTCTTGATAAGTCATGTTCATCCTGAACCAAATTACAATCAGGCACATACATCTGACTTGCGGTAAGAGATAAGTCAGTATCTGTTGAAGAAATAGTAAGCTTCCACATGTGAATAATAGTGTGTTGATCGTTACAGTCTAGTAGAACTATATAAAAAGGTTCTTCAAAGACAGAACACTGCTGTAAGTCAACCATGGCATCTTGGTTAGTAGATTTTGTAGAGCTTCTTTGTCCTAAAAAAGGTTATATATTTAGAACACTAATATAGTGCAATTTATGGCAATGGTAGTTAGACGTTTATGAAAAAAGAATCCCATCAAAAAGATAGAATGTAAAAAAATGCCAAGTCTCGCCACACAGTTCCTTCGCTATAAAAAGTTGTGAGATCTCATGTAAAACCAAGTCAGTTCATTTTATTTAGTCTCGCTTTAAGCACCTATTTACCAATTTTGATATAAACTGTTAGTATCAATATTAGTCATCTTTATTTCCATAATAATCATAATGACTTGGCAATTGCATGCACGGCACCATAATTATAAAAAAGAATAATCTACTATTTCGATTACTAAGTAAATCTAATAAACGGTGCACTTAAGAATAAAGTTTTTAATTACTATAGAATATCATATCGTGCAATTGCCAAGTCATTATAATTATTATAGAAATAAAGATGACTAATATTGATACTAACAATTTATATCAAATTGTTGAATAGGTGCTTAAAGAGAGACTAAATAAAATAAACTGACTTGGTTTTACATGAGATCTCACAACTTTTTATAGCGGAGGAATTGTTGCGAGACTTTTTTTACATTCTATGTTTTTGATGGGATCTTATTTATTTTTGTAGGTTATCCTTTTATTTTTTTTCGGGTCATTCAAAATAATATTAAAGAAATTTGACTATAATTCATAAACTTTGAATTATCGTATAATTAATTAAGTCAGATAATATCAATTGAATTAATTCTAGTTTTATAACGACTTGTGTTTCCGAATTTCGGACTTTCATATAACTCAAATATCAACTTTAAAAATGTTCAATTCATAATTTTACCAATGCTTATTCAAAATTATATTTTTGTCGATTTTACACAGATTTTAATTTTTATCTCGAAAACTATAAGATATAAATCCGTGAATTATTGTTTAAGATATGTATTTAATATTTTACAATCAGAATATTAACGAAAATAAAATTCAAGCCTAGCATTTAACATATTAAACTAAAAAAATGAGTAGGGACTTCATTACAAGTTAAAGTCTAACTAGAAAAAATGTATAAACCTTGAATTATTGTTGGTACATTGATATATAAATAAAATCAGAAGCTCCGATTAATTCTAGTTTTCTATCTTCTAATCCATAAGGATATTTCGAGATTTTTCATTTTTTCCTTTGGTTATAAGCTTAAAGCTACCTAAAATTCTAAATTTCGAGTTTGTGACACATCGAGAAGTACCTTAGAATTTTGATGATCTGTCAGTGAGTCAACGTCGCAATTAAAAAAATTGACAAGCGATAATTCATAAACTATGAGAGATAATTACTAGATATTTTAGTAACCTATCCAGCTATGGTATGTCTTCAAGTGTAGTAAAAATTAATATTCTTGATATATCCACAACGAAGTTACAGGGTGGTCAAAAGTGCCGCTAATACCTTCGAGAAAAGGATGGTACGGCTGTGCTCGACTTGGTGGTGGCACTGCCGTGCCCCCAGATAATGAAAATTTGGGTTTCTACAAAAAAGCTGCATCATCGACCTATACTAGACTATACTGGATGTTTCATTTAAAATAAAAAAGATGCTATAGAGCTTTGAAAATAATTTTCGCCGATGGAGCGTTTCGATCAGAATCTAAATTTTTACTGGTTCTCCATATGTCTAAACTACCATGGACCGTAAATAACCCTATATAATAATTATTAAAAAATAATGTTGGCTGTCCAACAAGGTAAGGAAGACTGTCCAACAAGCTAAGGAAGATTTCGTGAATTAAAATGACAGACAGCAACTGTTACTGCCAGGTATCTTCCCTTTGGACAAACTATATTTTTAACTACACATACCTGTAATGAGCTGTTCCTGATATACATGTAAAAAGGTGGTATTCTGCCACTCAATAGCTTCTGCCACAGTCTCTAATTGTATAATGCACCCGGGTCGCGAAGTGCTTTGTTGGGAAACAATATTAATATTCTCCAGTAGAGTCTCTTCATTAAAAGAGGACATATCGGAAATATCGCTCATGTGATCTTGTTTTTGACGCGTTTCTTTAAAGGACAGATCAGCAAGTAATGTTCTAGCATCAATTACTGCTTGATACACGCGAAGGCATTGACCATCGGAAGCGACAAAACATGCACTTGGTGAGTTGGATAGGTTACCGAGTGTACTAGAAGGCAATAAAGTGGGAATCCAAGCGACGTTGCTAAAAGCTGACGGTTCTGGTGAACTGATTCTTGCTAATTCGCAGATTCCACCCGATTTTGACAGAGGTCCGACGGCATCAACTTTCCATAAAATTAATTCACTGCAGAAACCCTAAAATAGAGAGAGCGTTTCATATTTGAATGGTAAGGTTAAAGCAAATAGAAAATATGTTTCTTTTGTCTAGACCTACCACCCCTTAAAACCTCCAAAAAAGTCTAATGTAACGGTAATCGTAAAACAATTTCCGATGAACTTTGAGTGACAAGCGATAGCGACAGTGCTGCCATATTGTGATGGATTTATCAAATGAATCTTAATTTAAAATTGACAAACAATACATTATATTATATCATTTTTTAAATATTTTTGTTTTATTTTTAATTTAAAAACTAATATTTTAGTAATTAATTGATTTATTTGCTTTATAGCTTTATTATTATTATTACAAACTGGCAAAAACTGGCAAAACTAGTCCATTATGAAGATTATTCTAAGCGTAGCGTAGGCGTTATTCATTTATTTATTTATTGATGTACACCTTACATCGCCACATAAGTGGTAATAACAAGTAAGACGGTGTAATGCTCTAACTAATAATCACAGAATGTATTACCACAGATTATACAGATTATAATCTTTGTTTTTTCTTTATTGTTTTTCGTGGTTCCAATTTTCGGAATCGGGCACTAGTTAGGTGACTAGTTTGCGCACATAGCACGCCCACTTCTGGCCTCTAAAATTGTGCACAGCGCCTAACCGGCACAGTTATTAGAGAGATATCGGAAAACCGAATAGCGTCATCCAGTATTTACGCGTACCTTATCATGGTTACGATATGCGCGAGTTAATTTTTAACGCAACACCCGCTAATAACGTTACCGCATGACGTAATTTGCGGATCAATTACACCAAGCGCTCTTTCTAAAGCTTTTTTCGGGTTCTTGTTATTACCGATTCTGAACCGTCCTAGAACTGTGATGCGTATGCGCAGAAGGAAATATGAAGACATTATTTCATTCGCGCATGCGCTGCAGAGCTCTAGGACGGTTCAGAATCGGTAATAACAAGAACCCGAAAAAAGCTTAAATAACCTCTGACAACGTTTAAAAATTGCTTAAATGGGCATGTGCGGGTATTTGACAACCGGAGCCGGCCGGCGAGATCTTTTACTTTAGGTTATGTTTGAATTGTTTTGAATTATTGCTTTAGTTTTATTAGGTAATTTGATATTTAAGTAGCTGGGATTAGTTCTAATTAAATAAATATGGCCCAAAATCTGGATTCCACCTCTTCCAATACTAAAGAACCTATAAAGAGTCTTAGGTTTACAGCAGATGACGACTTAGCCCGTCTAAGAGAATTTGTTGCTTGTTGCCCTAAACCCACTGGCAGACGTTGAACAATAAAGCACTGGAAATAAGCACTTTAGCCCTTTAGTTTTAAAATACCTAGTAAACAAAACAATTTCAAAGTTTTAAATTCAAAGTTAGGTTAAGTTTAAATAGAGAGTTAATACCACCTCACATAAAGGAAATAACACCTGGCCTTATTAACGTCCATGCACGCTATTCGGTTTAGCGATATCTCTCTATTACGCTGTTTATTGTTATTTTACGCCAGTTTATTTTTGCGCACAGGAAATTTGACTCGTTTGCACATCGTCATAAAAAACAATTTTCGTACCACGAATTAGGGACAAGATTTTTATCTGTATACTTATAGGATACCTAATCTGTGGTATTACAAACTAACGTAGAAATAATATTCTGGTAATAAAGTGGTATAATGTGCTTATCAATCAAACTTACTTCTCTGACTGCAGTCAAGGGTAATAAAGGACCTTTATTATCACGTTCTCGTTCAAAGTAGTTTATCAGGGAAGCTACAAGCACTTTGCGACGACTGTTTAAATGCTTCGGCGTATTTTCAACACACAATTTCAAGAAATGCAATACAAAAACTCGAAAATTTAGTGCTTAAAAAACTGTTTGTGCTTAAAAGTAGTGATGGTAGTACAGTAGGATAACTCGAGAATAATTCGCTAGAGTACTCGATTATTAAAATATACTCTGTTTTTTTTCTCAGGTAAGATTTCGACAGACGATGACAGAAGAAAAGCAGATGACGTCCCATACCAATCTATTTATTTTACTACAAAAAGTTTCTAATAATTTTTAAGTTAACTATGGATGGGTTTAAATATAAACCCGTCATGCGTCTTCTCTTGTTGTTTTTAACCAGTTTTATTGGTTTATTTCAAAAATGGCAGATCGTATTTCAATTTTATTGGTTTGACGGAACGATGAACGACAAACGGATGCCGATGCGTATGAACTCGCCTTTAGATTTTTGACGCTTGTCAAAGTCTTGCCAAATTGTAGGTTATAATTTTGTGTCAACTTTTGTCAAGTACCCTGCGTTTTGGAAGATGATGCATTTTGATTCGTGTTATTACGTGTGTTTTGTGTCTTTTGAAGTCAAGTGGAGGAAAAATCAAGTGAAAATTAACTGTAGACCCAGAGCACAGTTTATGGTTCATACTCGCTGCCCAGGCAGAAAGTCTTATACACCAATAAAGTTACCATTAATAAAGTTCGTATACCATCTCGTCGTAGATAAGTGCATCTCGAATATGGTAGAAGGAACCTACTAAACACATACTAAAAAGTGGAGTAGCTGTAAAATATCGACATCACACGATAGGTAAATAATGGATTTTAGTACTGCAGAAAAATAATATCAAAAGGTACTGGTTTAAAAAAATTAAGATTAAAGTTAAGTAATCAACCTTTAAGGTATAAAATTTGGTAAATGTTATTATTAATAAAATAGTTTGCTTTATTTATGTTGTTTTATTTATTCCTGTAGAATATTACAAATTTGTATTTGTACATAAGTTATATTGATAAATATAATCGTAAATGCGGGTTTCAAAGTTTCATAAAGCTTGAAAGTAAGAAATAGTTCTTTTTTATATTTTTTTGGTATGTGGTGTCTTGTTCTTGTTTGTTTTGTATTATAACACATACCGTTTTTTATTAAATAAAATAACTCGATTACATTTTTTCAGTTTTATACAGTTTTTTTCACAATATTTTGAAGTATCACTTGTCAGTCAAATTTTAAATATATTAATTTCCTGCTATGCGTTCCAGTTGTACCAACTTATTTCTTTGTAAAATAAAATAAACTACTTTGAAAAAAAAATGACAGACACATCTATCACTGTCAAGGATCTTCTCGTTGGACAGACTATAACCGACATCGCTCGATTATGAACGAGCGATGCAAGTGACGAGTACCAAGCGACGAACGCAAGCGATCCTACAATGAAATAAATTGAAATCCGATTTTAATGTCACCTACTCGATAAAAAGCCGAGCGAATTTTCTACATACATTGCAGGTAGCAAATTTATACGATGTCGTATATACCGGGTGCGTCTCAAAAGTGGCTCACCCCTATTACTTTTTTATTTTTTTAGATAAAAAAATTGAGATTTGGTATGTTAGTATATGACATAATGGAAATGGAAATAATTGGAAAAATAGATTTGATCGTCTTATCTAGTGTCTTGCCCTGGCCGGTTAAAAGATGCCCAAATCGTATTTTTGATCATATCTCAATTTTTTTCAAATGGAACGAGGGTGGATCATTAGCATATTTCGAAAAGAAATTTTTTACGAACAATTTGATAGCACACACTTGGTACTTTGCCTCAAATTGTCGTTATGAACCGCATGTTACAATTTCAAATAAACCATATGCGAAAATGTCAAAAGTTGACATATGATATGTCATTCTATACAGAGTGTCATTTTCTACCGAATAAAGTAAAAAAATACCGAGGGTGCGATTTAAAAATCAAAAGTTGCAGTCATTTCCGGTGAAACCAGAAGTGACTGAAAACAATTGAATATGTCAATCAATCCTAATTTATGTCATATACTAACATACCAAATCTCGTTGTTTTATCTGAAAAAATAAAAAAGTTATAGGGGTGATCCACTTTTGAGACGCACCCGGTATATTTATCCGTTGCGTATCTGAGAGACAAAATTTTACGACCTACATCGACAATGCTTCGAAATAAACTAAATCAGGCGATCAAGCGAATCGCTCGCCGCTTACTACTTGCCGTTCATTACAGAAAGAATATGTGCCCTGCGCACGCAGCTTACTGCTTGGCGCTTGTGACGGACAAAAAACCGTATTTTTAAATACGAGCGATATTTCGCTCGAGTGATCACTCGGTTATTGCAATCGCTTGATACTCTAGTACTCGACTATTGAAATTAATCGGTTTTTCCCATCACTACTTAAAAGTACAATTTAAAAAAAATATGAAAATAGGCAAAAACCGAGAATTACTCACAAAGATTCAACAACAATACGATATTATACAAAATAATAACTGACATTAATTGTCAAATAATAAACGACAACGTTGCTGAACACGGCGCAATGTGACCAACATAGCGATAAAAAAAATCGGTTTAAACGAATTTTTGCAGCTTTAATCTAAATAAAATATCTGTTAAAATCATTTGCTCTATAAAGTAAAATTAAGGGCTGCTCGGTATCTTAAATTATACAAATTTTTAAACATTTTTGCCAAAATTTAATTTACTCAGGTTTATAGACTTTAGTGTCAATGTCGATATGATTGATGACGTGCATCGGAAAATGTTTTGCGATTACCGTATATATCTTTCCGTCGTCGGAAGCAAAAAAAAACACAAAGAACAAAGAAAAAAACTACTTAAAAAATTTATATTCGAGAACACTTTAGTTTTTTAAAACAGATACGTCTACAAAACCGTTTTGACGTTGTGATTTTTGTAGACGTATCTGCTTTAAAAAAACTGAAGTGTTCTGGAATAGTTGTATTTAGATAAGTTAAATATTTTTTTTTATTCTTTGTATTTTTTTTGCTTCCGACGACGGAAAGAAATATACTTTTCGAAACGTAAAGCATTATTTTGGCCGTTAGGCAAATTTGTTTATTAGTAAACTACTGCTGACAATTAGCCTCCGATAGATTAACGGCAGCAGTGTTTACAAAAAATTACTATTTTATTTTGTAGATTTTCTTAGTGGCGAAATACCCATAGGACTTTTTTGGAGAGATGAATCCGCCACAGAGGTATAGACATTTTTTACCCCTTAAAATACTTATTTAAAAGACAACATATAAAACAATGTTAGTTATGAAAATTATTACAATAAATAATACCTACATTTGATTTGTGTTGACTTTTGCTTTGATCAATTATATTATGATGGCTTGTAGTTAATAACAACGGCAATACAGGATGACAAGTAATATCATTAACTCTAAATCTGTGCCCTGAAGCTCTGCTTCTATGACCGATACTTAAAACTTGAGCGAATTTACTTTGATCTTGGAACGTTAAATGCCACAGATTTAAAGTACCGTTATCGTGTTTGGTTACAAGATAGACCACAGGGGTCGCTTCATTCTCATCGGACAAGCATATTCCCTAAAATAATATAAAAATTATTGTTCTTCCAATAGAAACGAACCAAATCGTGTTACATCATGTTCCTGTTTGTTTTCATCTTCTTCTTTAACACTACTTAAATTTCTGTGACATACATCTTTTACCAAATGCTTTAATAATGGTGTTGTACTATACAAACTGACAGTAGTAGACATGCTCATTGAATCGCCAACAGGAAACGCAGACGGAATACGAGTTGAAAATGAAACCTGTGCTTGACGAAATGAACCGGGATGGAATTCATCTAACCATTCTACAACCCTAAAATACATGCGAAATTTTTAATATAACGGAGGTATTAAGTGCATCGCTAAAATACCATATTAAAAAGCTACCGTCAACAGGATGAATACTAAATAATAAATCTGGACTATGATGCCAATCTCTTAAAAAACTTTCAATTCTTGCATCGACTCCATCTGGGGCGCCAGACTCCATAAGAGGTTCTAAGGAATGCTCTTCGGATTCCGGGTTTTCAACGACAGGTCTAAAAAGTTTATTTTTCGGGTAAAACTTCATATTCTCTAAGTATAAACTTATATTTAAAAATTTATTTACCTAGCAAATTCTTCCAGAAACAATTCAGCTTGCAGACTAAATTGCATCTCTTTATTATCAAGCCAATGTAAAACAAAGGCTGGTTTTGGATTACAATAACTTATATTTGGGACAAGCGGTATATCAGTTTCCGCGTTTACCGAAGCTGCTAAATGAAAATGTAATCCTGGGGTTACTCCTAAAAAATCGTAATAAAGCAATAGAATTTGTTCAAAACTAATCAGTTCAGGAAAAAAGTTTTGGCATATCCCCACTGAAACCCAAATTAAAAAATTAAAGTTATTTTTGTAAAATGTCTCTGGACAGAACCAGTAATCGCGCTTTGCAAAAACAATGTTATAAAATGTGACAGAAAAAGAACCAATGATTTAACGATAAGTAAAACTACTAATTTCTTTATACTATAATCAAACCGTCTATACTAAGAGCTGGTAAGTTTTGGGTCGAGATTTCCGTATGTAAGAAGGGTATAATATGTTTATAATGTATTAAACAAAGAGAGAACAGTAAAAACGTTGCCAAACGTATGAAATAAACCAATAAACTGTGCACATAGCTAAGAGACGTGGAAGGGGATATAGCAGATTCGGTCGACCCAATCAGTACTTAACATTCTAGGGAAAGTTGTACATCATGCATTCAACTTACGTCTCGTTATTATTTATTTGTTTATTAACAAATCGTTGTAATTTTCCTTACAGCTTGTAAATTTTTAAGTGCAAGTTAGAAACACTTGCACTTTTGGTAAAAAATAAGTGGAAGTGAGTTGGTGTTACGACCACTGTCACGCTATTAGAACTCCGAATTGAAAAATCGATATCTCGGAATCCATTAGAAATAGTTGATTGTATTTTTTTTCTACGCAGACAGTATGTGAAAATCTTTATAAATAAAAAAGGTACACAATTGCTGAAAATTGCTATGCACTAAAAGTAATATATACACTAACGGTAACAGCTAGAAAATTGCTATATGCACTAATGGTAACGGTAAAGTGGACGGTTTTTTTTAAATTTTGAATGAAAAAAAAACAGGCCTATCAAGTTTCTCTTATTTAAACATCTTGTAAAAGATCCGAACTTCAAAATAAAAAAAAGTTTCAATATCTAAAGTGGTTCTTGAGTGATCGCGTGCTATGTGTTAAAAAGTTGAGTTTTTAAAAAGTTAATTTACAAAAAATGGACACCCTAACGATATCCTTATAATTCCATTTCAGATGCTCAGAAACATATCTAATGGTTTTATCTACTCAGTTATCTTTTCGAAAAAAAAAGTCTTAAAAATGAGCGGTTTGCGATTCTAATTTAACTTTACTTAATAGGGAAAGGCGTACCGGAGAAATGTGGCAACGCCGCAACAGCACACCGTCACATTTCTCTCACTCTGACTTAATAAGATCCCTATGCGATTTACTTCCACACATGTAAATACCGACCCAAATTAAATGTTGCCAGCATGGTATATGAAATTTTTTGTTTTTACTAAACTTGATAGGAAACTTCAAGTGATTTTTGTTGGTTAGAAAATTTTAACAAACTGGTTAATTCTTAAAAGCATTGCATTTAGTATGTTTATTTTATTTTATTTTATAACAGTAATAAAATAAAATAAACGTTGATGCTAAAATGCAAATGCTGTATTCATTATATACCGAATGTAAAATCAAGAAATATTTTAAAACATTATCTTGTAATAATAAATGCTTCAAATAATTATGACATTTACAACAAAATTTGTATAGTCCTTACAGCAAATATACAGCAAATATATAATTTTCACAAACGATATCCAAAAAAGAATGACAGAAAAAACAATTTTTGCAATAAAAATTACATACACAAACTGCCACCCTTTGATACAGTTCTGGCCTTTTTGACAGATGTAATTTAAATTCAAGAATTGAAGTAAATTTTCTTTCCACCACAAGAAATATGGCGCTGTATAATATATATGCATTTCCAAAAATTGAACTGCGATAAAAAGCATTTTTTCCATTAATATAATAGAATGTTTCGATTTCTTACCTGTGCCATGGTATCCATAGGAATGAAAATCATGTACACTATAAGTGGAAGGCAAACTTGGGATCGGTTGAGACGATCCGATTAAACCTTGGGCATGATGTTTAGCATTGCGTCTTATATGGAAACATGTTCTAAAATAATACGAGACTTTTAATAATGTTAGGGACGTGTTTCAACATACCAGCTAAACTACAGGGCTGTAACTAAGATGTTTCTGCCAGTAACAAGCGCTTATATTGCAATAATAAGCACTATGTTCATGCTTTAGTTACAGCTGTTTTGTATTACAAGCAAAATAACTTTAAAAACGCACTCGATGACAATTAAATATGAGAATGAGATATATTTTCAATTCAGAGTGAAAATAAAATCTGACAATTTCTTATTAACATCTAAAAATGGTAAAAACAGAATTTATAAAACTTGTGTGTGTTCTTGCAAAAATATCTTAGTACAACACCCTTTAATAAAAATCGTGGAATAAATATATTTATAAAATACACCTATTCACTAACCAATCTATATTACCCTTAGTGATAACCTTTATTTTGACAGCTGCCCAAAATTTTACTCTCACTGCTGAATATAGGTACGAAAAAGTTGCAATAGATATTAATAAATATTAGAACGCAAAAAAGTTAATAAAAACTTAAAGTAAAACGTTTAAAAAATTAATACAAAGTTAAAACACTTCTAATAATTTCATTAAAATATAAAATTATTGTTTTTAGAATTATAACTTCTTTATGAGTAATATTAATTACCAGCAATAGATGTCAAATAATTCATTATGTCTCTGAGCGATATATAAACAAAAATAAAGTTGAATTAGATTCACAGGAGGGGGTTGTTAAAACACACCTCCAACTTTGTGACTGGACAAACAATCTCTCTAGGGAATGCAATCCCGCAAATGCGGGATCCCTCTGATATTCCGCGGGATCAAAGTTGCGGGATTTACCGTGCGGGATCCGCGGGATCGACACTTTACTACTGGATTCTATATCGATCTCGATCAAGGTCAAACCGCTTCGTTCCGGGCCGATGCGTCGACGCTCGGAACCCGGGGGATACCCCTTACGGCTTGGCCATTAAGTGAAACAAACATTGTCAGATGTCTTTCTGGTGTATGTGCGTAAATGAAGAAAAGCGTTTAACTAGTACTTGTGGACAATTTCGTCAAAAAACTGCCGGACATAATTATCGGGACAAGCAAAATTTTAGGGTAAATTTAAAGTTGAATATCTCTTGAACTAAAAAAGATTTTGGGATGCGGTTTGGAGACCCAGGTTTTAGATGCATCTATTGTGATTAAGATGCTATGTGGTTTTCGAAAATATATTAAGCGAATTCTCGTATACAGGGTGTTTTATAAGAGTGTGAAATTTTGGTCAAGAATCTTTTACCGCAAATTTACAATTTTTAAAAAATCGAAATTTTTACCAAGTACGTCTAATCTGTATTGAAATTAGAATAAACAATTTGATGGGTTTCTTTTTTTTTTGTTTTAAGGAAAATACGACATTTTTTTTCAAAAAATATGCATTTTTAGTCATACATATGGTCCTAAATGGTACAAAAAGCTTTGTACATTCTGCATATGCCAAAAAATTGATATAGAGTATATCTAAAAGCAGATAACTAACACAAGTTAAAAAAAACTTCAACATCAAAATAATATTTTCATTTATAAAATAAGTAGATAAATTATAATAAAATTTAAGTTTATTTAATATTAAATATATTGTTTGAACACCCTGTATATATCGGTCCAAATTTCTGTACAGCTAGTTGAAGATACACGCTATATCAATATATTGTGGGCCTATGCAAAATGTACAATGCCTTTTGTACCATTTGGAACCAAATGTATGACTATTGTTTACAGTCCCGCAATTTTGCGGATCCGCCGGATTGATTGCTTTAATCCCTCAGTTTTGCGGGATTGAGATTTTGGTGCGGGATTACATTCCCTAAATCTCTCTAAAACAATTAAGGAACCTTGCCTAAAGTCATTCAAAACTGATATGGCATATAAATACAAAAATTAACGTGTCTACTCATTGGAGAGATGACGATATATGGGGTATTAAGAGAGGCCCTATTTTGACAAATCTGACAGTTAAAATGTCAAAAATCAGAAAATTAACTTAAAATATAATTTTCACTTAGATATTCCAATCAATTACGGTACATAGCGTAGTTGAATGTATTATTTAAGATTTAATATGTTTTTATGGGAAAATTATGAATACAGTTGCTCTTCTGGCTTATTTTAAATAATACGGGAGAGAATCCTGAATTATTACTTCAAGATTTTGCTCCCTCTTTCGTGTTATAAGTATAATTTAATTAAAACTATCAAATTAAACCAATAAATAAATCTGTTACCGTTTCGGAGTTACGGGGTGTTTTCCAAAAATGTGCATTTTTAACAAATCGCTGTAACTTTTTTGCTGAAAAATTGGAAATTTATCGATTCCTCTTTAGGATATAGAGGTTCTAAAAATTCGCCTACTTTGAATAAGTAGGCATTGAACGGCACCGGCTGTAATGCAAAAAAATTCTAGCTGTGGGCAGCAATTGAAACGAAAATAACATTTGCAATGAGATATGCAGAATTTTATAACAATTTAAACAATCTTTCCAAAAAAATCCTTTATGGGTATTTCGCCACTGCACTGCAAGAAAATCTAAACGGACGCTGCTTGTCAGAAATGTATCCAACAGAACGTCAACGGTTTCTTGTAAACGTATCTGTTTTAAAAAAGTAAGGTGTGCTCGAATAGTTGAATTTAAATATTTTAAATAGTTTTTTTCTTTATTCTTTGTATTTTTTTGCTTCCGACGACGGAAAGAGATAACTTTCCGAAACGTTAAGCATATTTTTTTCTTTGTTAGGCAAATTTGTATTACTGTAAACATAACTTCTGACAAGCAGCGTCCGTTTAGATTTTCTTGCAGTGCAGTGGCGAAATACTCATAAAGGATTTTTTTGGAAAGATGAATCCGCCACATAGGTATAGACATTTTTTACAATTTAAACAATATTTAACAACATCAACACATTTAAACTATATCTAATAACAATAAAAATAGCAAAAAAAATTAACAGCAAACCAAGACATGAGATTTTGTTGCAGGTGTTCGACATGTCGACCGTCCTCTGTTATAGACAGACGGAACCGTTTTTGAACATTTCTCGCGGAAGTCATTAACTCAGTTGGGGTGAAAGATATCTTCGCATAACCGCTAAGTACCTCTAATTTTTGTCTAGATTATACGGGCAATTTAAAAATAAGAACCTTTATTCTTCCGCCAAGATAAAAAGTCCGGCGGCCTCGACGGCCAACGGTTGGGATTTTGATTAGCAATTCCATTATTCTCGAAATTGGTTACAAAAATTTGCTGATAACTTCAGCGGTGCCTCCTTTTGAGTTCCATTAGGGGCAGACCATCAATAAGGGGTCTAAAGCCTACTAGTTAAAAGTGGCGAGTTTTTAAAAATTCTGTATTTCGAAAAGGACTGTAACAAAATATCAAGTGTGCTATATTTTTGGAAAGGTAATTTTAAGTCCTTTTCAGTTAATTAAAAATATACAGGGTACAAAAAAACATTTTTTCTATTGATAACTCTTAAATTATTAATTTGAAAAAAAATATACATAAACCATTAAATTCTAAGTAAAAAGGTGCTTTGGAAATGTTTTCATAAAAGTACAAAATTTTCCATAGCAAAAAAGTTATAGAAATTTGTTAAAAATGCACATTTTTGAAAAACACCTAGTAACTCCGAAATGGTAACAGATATCAATGTGCGGTTTTCACCATCATGTTTTTGATAAAAAATGAGCTCCAGACACCGATATTACTTTTCGTCTATCTCGTCTATCTAGGGTGTTTCCCTTTAAAAGCGTCCAATTTGGCCCACCCTGTACAGATAATTTATGAACATATAGGTATATAGTCCTGTAAGTTTTGTTTATTAGAGCTTTATGAATTATTTGTGTATATTAAAATTACTACAAAATACCCTAACATTAAGTAAACATTTTTAATTTGTATTATATTGTTTAAAAAGAATATTACACACATACACATATAAATTTAAGAATGATCAAAAAAATGCTTGCAACAAAGCACATCGCACTCAATTTTCATTCACACTTACCGACAATGACAAATCATCCTCGTTATATTAAAATACAAAAAAACAGATATCCATTTGCTAATAGTAAAAAAATTAAATTAAACCTCGAAATATTTCACTAAGCGGTGTCATGTGCCAAACGCCTTTAAGTTTTTTATGTAGTTGTAAAAAGATATAAGTTGAAGATTATAATACCACTAAAGAAAAATAAATATATGCATGTATACTTACTTCATATGCTTTAATCTCTGCATAAATCTATGCTTATGTCTATGAGTCCTAAATTTGGGATGATGAGCTTGTGGATCTAACTGAGATAAATTTACTAGCCCATCTTCTGGTAATACTGTTTCAACCCATAAACGACAAATGTTATCTTTACACGATGTAAGAAGCATATTTGAAACAGAGCCCCTAAAATATTTAAATTTTATTATATTTCATAACAATACAATCTTTTAAAATTGAACTAATATTATTATTTCTTCAAAAAAAATATTCTAGGTATTTCGCTACTTGCACTGTACGAACTACGTAAGAAGATAAAGATTGTAAAAAAAATATTGTAATTAATAGTTCTGTGGTACTAAGGCAAAACCCGATGTTATATGTATAATACATACGGTAATCGCAAAACATTTTCCGATGCACGTCATCAATCATATCGATATTGACACTAAAGCCTGTAAACTTGACTAAATGAACTTTTGGCAAAAATGTTTAAATATGTTGTATAATTTAAGATACGGAGCAGCTCTTCATTTTATTTTATAGAGCAACTGATTGTAACAGATCTTATTATGTAGATTAAAGCTGCAAAAATTAGTTTAAACAATTTTTTTACAGTATTTTTTTAAAAATTCTATTTTTAAGCACAAACAGTTCTTTTAAAGTTGTATGTTGAAAATATGCCAAAGCATTTAAACAGTCAAAGCAAAGAGAAGAAAGAGAAAGAAAAACGAGAAAAAAAAAGAAGAACGAGAACGCGACAATAAGGGTCCATTATTACCCTTGACTGCAGTCATAGAAGTAAGTTTGATTGGTAAGCACATTATACTACTTGCAAAGTTATTTCTGCGTTAGTTTTTATCAAATTTTTTGATTATTAGTTTGTGCATTAATGGCACCCTCTTACTTGTTATTACCACTTGTAGTGTCGTAAGATCAATAAATAAATAAATAACCCAAAATAACGCTTAGAATAATCTTCATAATGGACTAGTTTTTGCCAATATGTAATAAGTAAAATAAGCTATAAAACAAAAAAATCAATTAATTACTAAAATATTAATTATTAAATTAAAAATAAAACGTACAAATCTTTAAAAAATTATATAATAAATATATTGTTTCCCAATTTTACATTAAGATTCATCTCATAAATCTATCACACTCTGGCAGCGCTGTCGCCATCACTCGTCACTCAAACTTGATCATGTGCATGGAAATTGTTTTGTGATTACCCAAAGCTTCCTACAGTAATTTACCGTAGGAAGCTTTGGATTACCGTATAACATATCGGGTTTTGCCTTAGATATTTTAAACAGTATTTTCTTTGTTCTTTGTTTTTTTTGCTTCCGACGACGAGCGACGGGAGGAGATATACCTCCTAAAACGATAAGCATTTTTTTGCCAGATAGGTCAAAATAAATTTGTTTTATTAGTAAAAAACCGCTGACAAATTATCTCCTTTGTATTAATACAACGGTGTTTACAAAAATAACTATTTTTTATAGATTTTCTCACAATGCAAATGGCAAAATACACAAAAGATTTTTTCTTGAAAAAATGAATTCGCCACAAAGCTATAAAAATTATTTAATATTATTCTATTACAATTATTTAATTTAAACGTCATAAAATTACTACATATTGCATTTAATACTTACTTTGGCATGTATTTGCTAGTATTTCTCCAGGATAAATGAGTTACCGCACGTGGATGTGCAATATATACAAATCCATAATCCAAATCCTGTGTGTGTGGACCCTCTGTGCTTTTAGAGGTAAAAAGGACTAAAAATTATAAAAATTGTTTAATCCGATAATGTTATAAAGGGTACCCATTTACCTATATGTGATACACAAACACAGGAATTTTACAGAAAAATTCAATAAAGGTTTTTTTCTTAAAGTCTAACAAGAAATTAATTAAATATTTAATTGAACCATACGCTGTTTTGTTTTAATTTCTCTTTATATTATCCGAGAATTTAAAAAAAAATCAGCCACAGGTTTCTTCTCAAATATCTTTATAGTATATATCAAATGTCTTGCAATGTTGCGACGATTTTTGAGATCAAATTCATATAAAAGTTGATGAGTGAGAAATATACCTGATTACTTGGTGTAACTATAATACCAACTTAGTAACTTGATTCAGCCCTACATTAACATTAATCGACTTATATACTTACAATGCTTATTTTCATACCATATCTTCACCAATCTGTCATTCTCACCGCATGTAGCAAACAACGTGCCGTCTGGCGAAAAGGCCAAATGCTGCACTGGAATGGCCGTGTTTGCTTTCCAAACGCATTGCCAAGACGTTTGCTCTTGTTCTGCTAAAAATAAAAAACGGTATTTACACCTGCCTAATAGAATATATATATATATATATATATATATATATATATATATATATATATATATATATATATATATATATATATATATATATATATATATATATATATATATATATATATATATATATATATATATATATATATATATATATATATATATATATATATATATATATATATATATATATATTTATAAGACCTTAACGTTAAAATATAGACAATTCTTCTTCTCGTCCCTTTTGTATATTCAGTACGTAGGAGACCCTTATCCACTATGTAACAGTATAAAGACGTCTAGCAGTATATAAGTCAAGTCCGAAAATTAATTGTCTATGTTTACCACATTCAAAGAAACCTTTCAGCTTCAAACCACCTTATGATGTGCTGTTTAACTACACATGCTCGGCTGCCACAGACCCCATTGTTTCGTTTCTTTGTATGTCTTTTATGCTCATTAAGTCACATACCCTAGTCACATATATAATGTGATATAACACTATAACGCACGGTTTTGGATCCCGATTTCCGTACGTAAGAGTACAATGCACTTATATATAATCTTTGAATAAGAAGACTAAGGGTACGAACATAGTGGAGGCAGGTTTCTGCTTTCCGGCAACCAGCCATTTATTTAAAAAAATAATTTCTTGATAATATGGCAACATAGGTAGTAGATTAAATTTATAAGAAAGAAAATCCCGAAAAGATCCAGTGGTTCTCAAACAAATCTCGAAGTATTGGAAAGAATGTGTAAGGACCAAGAACTATTGACTACAATAAAACGACGGAAAGCAGCATATTTTGGTCATATTTTTCGAAATAACAAATATAGTTTCCTACAGCTGATCGTTGAGGGAAAGATTGAAGGACGACGAGGCATCGGGCGTAAACGGTTTTCCTGCATGCGGAATTTGCGCCAGTGGTTTAATATAGGAGAGGCAAGTGCAATTATCCGTTTGGCTCAAGACAGGGAGGAATTCCATTTGATGGTCGCCAACCTCCGATGAGGAGAAGGCACATGAAGAAGGTTCTCAAAATTTTAGCAAAAATCTTTTTTTTTGGAAATTTTCAAAGTAAAACAACTCTATGTTTCTTTTATCGAGATCTACCGCCCTTTAAAATACTTGCACTTATTTCTGGGATACCCTGTTTATAACAATACACGTGATGCGTATACGCAAAGTTGCGAACGATGTCAAGAATAGGTACCCAGATTGGCGCTGGCTAACATTAAGCGGCAAATCTGCTTGCACTGTGTTCGCACACTAAGGAAGGAGCATATCAAAAATCTTAGGTACACCGCGATGGGCCTCAAATATGGCCGACTTAAATTCCGGTTTATCAGTGTCGTTCTAATTTTATTTAAAAAATGTAAAACTATGATGTAGGGTAGACGTGGGGTAGACTCAATAATCTGTTGTTTTATTTTACGTTGTGAATAAATGTTGGTAGTTATTAAAATTGTTATAAAAATATATAATTCTAAAAAAAATAGATAAGTTAATAAGTATTTATTAACACAAACATCCGATACGCTACTGAAGCAGGTAAGTCAAATTAACGTATCTAAATTCTTTGACATCTAATCTTTGACAAGTAATAAATAAAAGCTTGATAAAAGCTAAAATGCAATAAAATATATAATTTAGTAAATTTAAGTGAATTTCATAAATGATGGGTTTACTACACGTATGTATATTATATAGTCACTTACTAGCGAAAAGTTGTTCCATTATTTCACTCAATTTTTGCCGAGATTTACCGCACGCTACACAACCAACTATTTTGGTCTTTTTCGATAAATCGCGATAGTGTCACTGTTAATTTAAGTTCCGCCACAATTTCCATCTAGAGTTACTACCTTTATACAACTATCAGTAGTAGAATAAATAATAAATAACATAAAATAAGCTCCACAAAGACTGACAAATCCACAAAATTTCAAATCAAATTCAAATGTGTCAAATGAATCGTCAAACAGAACTGTCAAGGATCCCCACCCTAGAGTGCTTTTTCCGCCCACCATGCATGAATACATGGATAGCATTATGCTCCTTCCTTAGTCTTCTTATTCAAAGACTATAATATACTGAACAAAGAGAGAAGAGTAAAAACGTTGCCAAAAGTAAACCAGAAACTGTGTACATTGCTAAGAGACGTGGAAGGGGATATGGCAGCCTCGTCCCAGGCGACACGGTCGCGCCGCATAAAAATTAAAAATCATAAATTTGAAATTTAGTATATAGAATTCTAGGGAAGTGTGTATATCATGCGGTCAGTTTCACAGTTTAATTATGTGGCTGTAACCTGGTAAACTGGACGCCGTTTTTCTTCGATCGTACGATGTAACTGTCGGATTTACACTTGAGGTGAAACTATATTCAATTGAGCGTCCGGATTGCACAACGACTTTAGCGCGTGGCCGCGGGAAGCCCAGTAGACAAGCGAGACAGCGACGCGTTGTCGCATAATTCAAGTTTGTTTTAAGCTAAAACAATGCAATATTTTGAAAAAAAGAACTTCCTTTGTAACCAGGAGATATCGACAATGATAATGTTTTTGTCATTTGATCCAGATCTTGTTCATAATTTATTGTCTGTAAAAATTGTGCTAAAACTAAAACCAAAGCAGAATGTGTGCTAAAAACGGCGAGCGTCGTACTAACCATTTTTTATGTATACTCGTTAGTACTGCTAGCATAAACCGATAGATCTAAATTTTGAATATGTTGTAACTAAATGTACCTTCCCCTAGGAGATGCAAGACCTTGTCGTTGGTGGGGAAGCTCCTGATCAGGTGCTGGGGGGAATCCCCCCTAGCACTTGGCTTGGTCTAAGAAGCATCTCACTCATCGTCTTGTCCCTGACTGTAGTGTCGTGGCCAGGGAATTGCACCAAGACATATAACGATACCGGGCGGTGCTACGGACAGCCTCAACCTTGGGGCATCGGGGGGCACCCCATTGTATTTTACCCCTTACTTCTACATGCGGGGCTCTGTAGAAGTGGACCGACTGTCTCTAGCGACTCATGGGAACACTATGAGATCTGGTAATAATAGTAATAAAAACATCACCGGTGAAGCTGTGGGGAAACCCCCTAGCGACACTGGGAACAGTAACAATGAAAGTTCCAAGTTCAGACCTAATATTATTACAAATTCTTGCACATTTCGATTTGTGGTCTCTTGGGTTTCAGAAGAAATCTGACCATTGTTTTGGCCTTAAACTGCCTAGAAACATTATTTCACAGTTTAATAGAGTCAGAATAGTAACACTGTCTCAACAGGGCTACCGGCAAGTTGCAATAGCTGAAATTGTAGGAGTTAACCAAAGCGATGTTTCGCGAATACTAAAAAAAAATCAGGGAGATAAACGAGGTTACAGACCGGCCTGGAAGAGGTAGAAAGAGAGTTACTACTGCTGTGCAAGACCGTCAAATATCCCTAATTGCACGACGCAATCCCCTGCTTTCTAGTACTGCTATTAAACATGAATTAGCTCGCCTTGAAGGACTAAAAGTTTCAAGATAGACCAAAGCAAGAAGACCCCATGACAGAGGATTACATTTAGGGAGGCCTCTACTTGCTCCGAAGCTTAATTTACAGCACAAAATTACGAGACTACAATGGGCTGAGGAGATGAGAGCAAATGGATCTAATTGGAATTTCGCCATGTTTAGTGATGAAACAAGAATAGGCATAGTGTCAGACTCGCGACAAACTTTGGTCTGGAGAGCATCTGAAAGACGAGCACGCTTGAATGCAGCTCAATCCCGTGTCCCGTTTCAAGGGGGAAGCATTATGGTATGGGCAGGTAGGAGCACGGAGCTCGAACTCCTCTTGTTTTTATTGATGGCACAATGACAGGTGCCTCATAACTTAGAGACGTTTTAGAGCCTATTGTGCGTCCATTTCGAGGGGCAGTGGGGGATGAATTTCCTTACATGGACGATAATGCTCCTCCCCATCGCACTTTAGTGGTTCGTGAATTTTGTGAGAGAGTATAAGGAAAACTGTGGTGGACACCGATGTCTCCAGATATAAATGTGATCGAGCATGCTTGGGATATGCTAAAACGCCATATTGCCAAAAGGAATGATCCCCCGTACCTTAAATGAATTGAAAATTGCTGCGCGCGAAACATGGGAAGCCATTCCTCAACACCTTCTGGACAACTTAATTAAGGGCATGCCACGTTGTCTCACAGCTTGCATTGAGGCTCGAGGAGGCAATACAGACTATTAGTTGTGAGAAATAATTAAAATTGTTTTCAATATTTTCTGTTTAAAATGAAATTTGTTTTTGTTGATTTTCACTCATTATGAAATAAAAGTATAATAACCGCCTAGTTGCACTTAGATTTTTAATTTTATATTAGTTAGTCGTTTACTAAGCCAATATGTCCAAAAATATAAAAAGAATCATATTAGGTCCAAAATAAAATAAAAATATCGTTATATACAATAATTTTGGCCATGTGTGTATATAGAGGGTGCTACAAATTCGAGGTACGAGCATTGGTATCTCGGAAACCGTAAGAGATACGAAGATGGTTAAATTAGGGCAAAGTTGCGCTTTAGAATGTTCACCAAGATGCCATCAAAAAAGTTTAAAAAATTTCAAGGATTGCTGAGTTTTTTAGAAAAAACGAATTTTTTTGAAAATCAATTTTATTTTTTCTTGGCGTAAGTTTTTAGAAAATCAAAAAACTAATTGTACATTGCACATTCTCATGGCCACTTTATTAGGGCTATCTGATAGTATTTTGTAGCATTTTATTTAAATTACACATAGTTTATATAAATGTACAGAATTATTTTATTTAAATTAAGTCCTCGCACCGAGATGGCATTCTAAGTACTGCTATTGTCTTTTATTTTTTTCCAAGTTTATTTCTGGCGAAATATTTCAGTCCGGTCGAAATTTGTTGGTCACTTTATATCTGACGGTGTATATTCGCACTTCGTGCCTACCTTCCCTCGCCATATTGGTGGTAAAGGCCAAACCAAACCGATAGAGCTATCGGCGGTTGTTGGCATTTTGCCAATTTGTTTGAGAAAACCCTCTGAGCAGAGGTAAGACTTTTATTTTTAACGTAACGTTTCCTAATACTTCTTTTTTTGACAGGGTTTTATTTTATGGTACGCATTTGGTTTAATGGTAGCATTTTCTGGTGCCATTTTGTTTTTTGTACCTGACATTTGGGCCACGTTTTGTCCCTACAACTCACACCGGGAATAACGGAGGAATCTCCTGATTCCACAGCAGTTTAGGATCCTGTCTGTGTAGAGACGTTTTTATCACAATCCAGTTACAGTAGCAGATCACCACAACCAGCTTGTGACCAGAACGGATAAAAAAAGGCCAGATCATTTCTTTTTATATAATTTAAATTCACTTGAATGCCATTAAGCCCTTCAGTCATATTATATATTTGATTACTTTAGAGTCATTTTGAAATATTTTATTCATGTTATGCATATTTCTGATATCTACATAGTACGGTTTTTTTAATATAAAGAGTCCCTATATTTTGGTATCAAGATCGCCAGACTTTTTGCGGAATAATTAATAAAATATTAATATTCAGAAGCGTGCAGATTTAATTACCATCTTGAGTGATCTATTTTGATACATACTATTTACCAACAAACATTTTCAAACATCAAATTTTTCATAGTCTTATTTTATTCTAATTAACATTTAATTATTAATTATACTTAGTTATTAGTTTATCTCAGCTTTTCATTTGTGTAATTCCTAAAATAAGTAATACCTATATTCTGAGTTGATTTCTCAGTTCTCAACTTAGAAGTTTTCGAAAATAAATGGAAAACTGAGTGGCGCCCAGTATATTATAAAGACGGAAGTATCACAATTTAATTTTCACTAGCTTATGACCCATTGCTCACCGGCGAACAGCTCCGTCGCATAGTATTGGTTGTTTTAATATTTTTTCCAAAAGAAAATTCTTATAAAAAAACATTCCATCTTTTTTTATAACTTCTAATGCTACAATTTTTAGATTTTCAAATTAGCTGATAATTTGTGAGATACAGAGGCCAACTTAATTTTTTTAAATACGGACCTGCATTTTTTATTTGAAGTTTTGAAAGAAGCCCTAAGATCAGATAGCCCTAATAAAGTGATTATGAGAATGTGCAATTAGTTTTTTGATTTTCTAAAAAGTAACGACAGGAAAAAATAAAATCAATTTTCAAAAAAATCACTTTTTTCCAAAAAACTCAGCAATCCTTGATATTTTTAAAACTTTTTTTATGGCAGCTTTAGGATGTTCACCAACATCCTAAAGCGCAACTTTGCCCCAATTTAACCATCTTCGTATCTCTTACGGTTTCCGAGATACCAATGCTCGTACCTCGAATTTGTAGCACCCTGTACAACTAATTAAACGATAGTATTCATATCTGTCAGTTTTAAAATTTATAACAGAGATTATTATCATAGATAAATGCAACAAGTTTAGATTGGAAAGCCCGTAAAAATTTTGGGTCGCGAAATTATTTTGGGTCGCGACCGTTATACGCGATCTGGCGCTGCTATAGCGGTCGCTAAGAACAACGGCAAACAAAAACATAAATAATTTTCTCTTGTCAAAGTCAGAATCTTCAAAAATCATAATAATCTTTCAAAATCTAAACCGCTCTCATTAAAGAAATTCCGAAAAGTGTTTATAGCGTCCATTTACAAAGTAATAATTGCTATCTTGTGAGTTTAATTCAAGTTTTATTTACTCCAACCGGTGATAATTGTGAAAAAGTGGCATTAAAAACTTAAAAGCTGTGCTGTGAACTGTGAACTGCAAAACCATAGTGAATCGTGGCATAACGTCGGTTTCCAATGTTTCATAGGTATTTCATACATGCGTCCTTATATAAAATAAAGTTTCTTGTATGCAACACACTGTCTTTTATTTATAAAATTAAAAGAAAATAATAATAAATTTGAATAAACAATATTTGGCGATATAATTCCGGAAAAAGCCGAACCGCTCCGAAATTTTCAAAAGTTTTGGGTCGCGACCGTTGCAAAAATAGCGCCAAATAGTGTTTACATTGTCCTTATGGGCACTTTCCAATCTAAACTTGTTTCATTTATCTATGATTATTATCTCAAAGTTATAATATGCTCGGGCAATGTAAACAGATCGAAAATATAAAAAATAATCCAGTATTTAGGCTTGTCGGAAGCGCCAAAGATTCATGAGTATTTCTATGCAGAAATCAGCACGATACGATAATTATTAACGAAATGACGGCAGTTTTAAAATTACATATTTTGTTAAATCGGCGCGCAGCAACGCGTCGCTGTCTCGCTTGCCTACAGGGCTGCCCGCGGACAAGCGTTAAGGCCGTTGTGCAATCCGAACACTCAATTATAATTCGTGAAGGTGCCGAAGTGGCCCCACATCCCACATACAGCGTCGCGTATTGCGGACTGACGCGTATTTTCTCACACTGTATGCACTCCCCTCCGCCATACATTACTCTACCAACTTTATGTTGGATCACGGCCGGTTTTACTATTCAAAAAATTTATGGTTTTAAATTCTTAATAAAATTCGGCAGTACCGCATAGAGAAAATGTGCCAGCCAATTTTTTTGTGTCTTCTTTACATACTAAAATTTTCCTTAGGGTATACCCCATGAGTCACAATAGGCCCTCGGGGACGCAGTGGAGTGTCCCACCTGGGATCCACTCTAGTAAATACAAAAAAATAGAATATGCCTATATATTATCCTACAGGTTAAAATAAAGACAACCGATTTAGGATATCTGACGGTGATGCAAAACTTTCTCTTTCCTATGACTACGTATGTATGGTAATCGCAAAACAATTTCCGATGCACGTCATCAACTTTGAGTGACAAACGATGGCGACAGTTACGATGGCGAAACTTAATTTAAAAGTGACAAACAATATATTTATCATATCATTTTTAAAAGATTTTTACGTTTTATTTTTAATTTAATAACCAATATTTAAGTAATTAATTGATTTATTTGTCTTATAGCTTATCTTGGCAAAAACTAGTCCATTATGAAGATTGTTCTAAGCGTCATTATGGATTATTTATTTATTTAGTGATGAAATCTTACAACGCGATAAGTGGTAATAACAAGTAAGAGGGTGCTATTAATGCACACAACTAATAATCACAGAATTTAATAAAACTAACGTAGAAATAACTTTGAAAGTGGTGTAATGTACTTATCAATCAAACTTACTTCTCTGACTGCAGTTAAGGGTAATAAAGGACCTTTATTGTCGCGTTCTCGTTCAAAAGAGTTTGTCAGGGAAGCTACAAGCTCTTCGCTTTAACTGTTTAAATGCTTCGGCATATTTTCAACACATAATTTCAAAAAATGCAATACAAAACTCGAAAATTTAGTTCTTAAAAGAACAGTTTGTGCTTTTAATGTACAATTTCTAAAAAAAGACTATGAAAATAGGCAAAAAAACGAGAATTACTCACGAATTACAAATATTCAACAAGACGATATTATACAAAATAAGGACTGACATTAGGATAATTGTCAAATAAACGACAACCTTGCTGAAAACGGCGCAATGTGACCAACACAGCGTTAATAGAATTCGGTTTAAACTAATTTTTGCAACTTTAATCTAAATAAAATATCTGTTACAATCATTTGCTCTATAAAGTCAAATGAAGAGCGGCTTGGTATCTTAAATTATACAACAAATTTAAACATTGTGCCAAAATTTCATTTAGTCAGGTTTATAGACTTCTAGTGTCAATGTCGATATGATTGATGACATGCATCGGAAAATGTTTTGCGATTACAATAGAGAAGGATTTGCTATTTTACTTATGACTACGTATGAAGAGAAAGGTTTGCTATTTATCAGACATCCTTTCTAGTTTAAAGATACTTAGTATGTACCTTGAGGTTTGTCCGGTTCATCCGCAACATCATTTTCGTCTGTTGGGCCCCCACCAAGAGTAAATGTTACAGGTGTTTCTTCTTCGTGAATTTGCTGCTTTAAATGCCAAAGTTGTACGTCGTCTCCAGCTGTTAGAAGTCGAGTACCTTCAAGGTTCCAACTCAAGGCTCTTAAGGGCGAGTCGGTTTTTAACGAACCGGTTTGAACCCATCTATAATCTAAACCCTGTGAAGAATTCGAAATAAACTGAATATATATTTTAAGCCATAATTGCCAACTATGATCTCTTAGTTACGATTGAAACATATTAAAAATGTGGAATTAGTTTTACATCTCTTCTAACCTCTTTGTGTTATAGAGGGTGTTTCAAAAAACATCTCTCGTGGGGAGATTCGTCCCGTAAAAATATAATTTATTTTTCATACCAACATAAGTCCGATTCTGCTTTGTTTCGTAGCTACAGGGTGTTAAAGTCTTAATATTTTTTCGATTTATTATAATTCTCTTCCAAGTACTTTTAGATTCAAATGAAACTTTGAGGGTAAAAGTTACTATAAATGCGACATATTTTAAAGCTAAAAAAGAGTCGATATATTCACCAGGGATGTGCATATGGGCTATCACTGAAATATTTTTCTAAAAAAGCATGTACGCCACTGACTTTTTTCTCTTGTTAGCGAAATAGTGTAAGCAGTTTAATGCCGATTAAAAGTTTTCTCTTGATATTTTCTCGATTTCGGCTTCCTTAATGAAATAAACGCAATTTTATTAATTTGCCTTGATTCAAGTAGTTTTAATAAGTACTCATTGATTCCTCATAAAAAAATATGAAAAAAAGTTCTTATAAACATGGGCATGGAAATGCATAGTTTTAGAGTTACAGGATGTTAAAACTTTGTAAAATTAGGATTTTTGTAATTATCTTAAATACCTTTATTTTTTTAATTGAAATTGCTGTAGGTTGGACTAATAATAATAATAATAACTAATAGTAATAATATTAAATAATTAATTAGAGGTAAAATAACAGGGTGTCTCAGATTTTAATCGGGAAATTTAATAGACGATAGAACTTGCAAAAATAAAACAAAAAGTTCATATCAACTTGTAAGATTTAAAGCTTCCTTTTCGAGATACAGGGTGTTAAAGTTGGGACTTAATTTGATGTACCTAATTAGATTTAAGTTTAATGGCCAGGGGCGGCGGAAGGAAAAAATAGGCACGCCACTGCTTTTTTAGAAGTTTAATATTATTTTTGGATTTAGCAATTATTAGATCAATCAATCATTAGATTTTCAAATATCTTATTTTTTTTTCTTTTTTAAGTAACTTTAACATCCTGTATCTCGAAAAGGAAGCTTTAAATCTTACAAGTTGATATGAACTTTTTGTTTTATTTTTGCAAGTTCTATCGTCTATTAAATTTTCCCGATTAAAATCTTAGACACCCTGTATATAATTTATTAATCTTATTTTTATTTTAATTTTATTTTAATTTTTTTTTAATTGGCATTAAACAGCCTACACAGTTTTGATTTCAAAAAAAAAAAGTCAGTGGCGCACGTTTTTTTTATGAAAAATATTCCAGTGATAACCCATATGCACGTCCTTGATGAATTCATCGACACTTTTTTAGCATTAAAATATGTAGCATTTACCGTAACTTTTACCCTTAAAATTTCATACGAATCACTAAGAGTACTTGAAAGAAAATTATAATAAATGGAAAAAATAATAAGACTTTAACACCCTGTAGCTACGAAACAAAGCAGAATCGGACCTATGTTGACATGGAAAATAAATCTTATTTTTGTGTGGAATATCCCCACGAAAGATGGCACGTTTTTTGAAACACTCTATATACAATATCCGCATAATATAGTATAGTCACTTTTCTGCTGATGATTAGAGCTTTAATCACACAGAGGCTGTGAGAACAGTGTTATCCTGTTATCTGGACAGGTCTAAGACTGTGTCTAAGACCAGATGTGTAAAGTTTAAGAAATATAAATTACTAGAATAATACAGAAAAATAAGAATAAAAAACATTCGTGGGATATGTTATAAAACGACTGTAAATGGAATCATGTTAGTATTCTCTTAAATTAACTATTTCGTTTATCTAAGTTTTGTGTATTTTCTGTACACAGAGTGTCCCATTTTGATTGCAATTAACGGTTTTATATCACAGTAAAGGTAGAATCTTGATTTTACGAACCAGTTCCACTTTTATGTGATACCAAATATTTAGAAAACAAAATTGCCATGTCTTCTTAGTTCCTATAGGAATCAGACCAAGAATCGCTTACTACTTAAATATTAGCATGTCATTAAGGAACACCCTGTATAAAGATATACGCTTTTTACTGCAAAATTACATTTTATTACCATTTACTTTTTTTAAATACTTACCTTATGTATCTTTATAGGGAAATGATACAAGATACAAATTAATAAATTCATATTAGTAATAAATAAAGTAATAATAATTAAGAGATCTCATAATTAATTCACTGTAAAATACAATCTAGACTGTTACTAAGATGTTATTTTTTATCCAAACACCACCACAAGCGTTAATAATGACAAATATTGACTGTAACTCGTGAATAAAGCTGGTTCAAAACAAAATTCTTCAGACAATAACTAGAGTAAGAATGAATGTGGAAATAGGTGTTTTCCCTAATACACAGTGTTTGAGATATTTTAAGTACCCAAAATGTTTCAAACACAAAAATTACATATAAATAATCGACGCACAGACGCTAACCTCGTGGGTAATACCTCAAAGTTATTTTAATTTAAAAGAAATCATCAATTTGTGGATAATCATCAGCAATCATCCCATTTTTCATTGGATAAACTTTATCTGAATCTGAAGTGATCTATCCAGTAAGGAAAACACCTAGTGTTATGAAGAAAGGGATTAAAAGAAGCTCAAAAATACTAACACCACTATACCTTAACCCCTTTGTGTTTTTTATAAGGCCTCTGGAATACCATAAATAAAAAATGTCAATATGATTCCTCAAAAATTAACAATATATTTTTTAGAGACCATAGAATATAATATGTATGTGTTTAATAATACAGCCACACAAAAATATAAAACTGGCCTCTGCTTTTTACCAGACCATCATATCCTATAGTATTTTTCGACGCTGCTGAGCACAAATCCGCTATCAGAATCACATCTCTTTTTTTTCTAACCTCAAAAACTTGGTGAAAATCAGTAAAATTTCAGGAAAATACAGTAGGAAAAATAAAAAAAATCTCATTTATAACACTATAACCTAATATAAATGGGTCTGATAAACTCAATACACCCATCAGAATTGAGCTAGCATGTCTCATATTTTTTTCTAACCTCAAAAAACCTACCACAAGTCATGATTTTTGAAAATCGCACGGATCTTATCCAAAACCGGTATGGAAGGGGGCCGGAGGATCCGGGGTCGCTAATGAGGAAGATGCATATATTTTATTTTTCGCCAGAAACTGTTCAATTTATTACAATAAATATGTGTAAATGCAAAAAAAAAACTTTTTTCTTGAAAGCAGTACCACAATTTTATAAAACGGGCCATTAAAATACTATGGATAACGCAAACGACGCCTCGCGAATTGAAACGATATTCTATTGGTCTGACGTCACCCGCCGTTCTCGTCGACGCGCGATGGCCAGCAGCAGCCAGACGTGTTCCGTTTATGTACGTATTTAGGTAGCGTACTAAGACATTTTTGTTGCTTTTAGCGTTGATTGAAGGAGCATTTTATGCTTTTTTGTGCAGTTATTATTTGTATATGTTGTCTGTTCTGAGAATTTTTTAAGTAATGACAGATTCCGGGTTTGTAAAAGTACAATCAGATAACTTGCCAAAAGTCGATGCTTTTATGTTGGCTGCTTTTATAAATACAAATTCTTCCCAATTTATTGGTGCTGAATTACGAGGAGAAAAACAGAGAGGTATATAACATTTATTCTTTGCAGTACTGAGGCATATTTAAATATAAGTAGGTACCTACTGTTACGAACTTTTATATAGTTATAAATTAATGTTATAAACTTATTTTTCAGATCAGGTAGGGAGACGTATGGAGATAATGCTGTAGGTTATGTAGAAGTGAAAAGAGACAAAAATATTTGTTTAGTACGTGGAAAAATAACTCCGGAGCATAGCGTGAAAAAGAAAGTTTTTTTTTATATATTGACACACACCCTTACCCTTGTTATTTTTAAAGATTGTTTTTTTTTGCGAAATTATAGGAAATAAATTGTTTATCAGTAATGAAAATATTATACAAGGTGTCCCATAAGCAAACGCCAAAATTAAGTTACTTTTTTAAGTGAAACACCTTATATATTTTTGGATTTTTCGGAAATTTCTAGATATTCTAGATATATTTCATGTATAATATCCTATACCTATCTTCAAATGTTTACGAAATATTGACAGTTGAAAAGCGAAAAATACCTACAAATTTCTGCACCACCTTTTTTGAGACACCCTGTATAACTAGAATTAATTTTAAAAGAAAGTATATGAAAAACCATGCAACTTTTTTATTTAATGTTTTCTTCTAAAACTTGCAGTTAAGGCTGTATGCCTTGGTGTCAAAATATAATGAATAACCCTGTACATTCAAATTGCGTATACCTATGTAAGACAATATACATAAATATATGAACTTACATCAAAATGATCTTCACAACAATAAATCGTAAAAATAGAGGATAATTTAACGTTTTTCTTTTCATATCTTCTCATGGCTTTGGAATTTTTTTTCCAAGGATTCTTTTCATGACCTTGGAGCATTTTGTTCTGTTTTCGCTCATCCATTACTATTTATAAATGACACTAATTACTAATTATGTATTAATTAACACAAATAACTAAAATTTTGACTCGGATTCGACAGCGTTTAAAAGCAAACTGTGTAAAATAAACACTCGTCTGGCTCCACTCAACCAGAAGAACGGCGGGTGACGTCACAGCGGCAAGGCGCGGTGGAAAGCGTTTGCCCGGCCATTTAAATTAACAATATTTAATTATTTTATATTAGAGGCATTTCTTAACCGATATCAACAATTTTTTTTTCTTCAATTTGTAATTATATGAACTATTTTTTAAAACCATTATTTAAAAACATGCATTTTCCTCATTATGACGTCGGATTGGTAGAATTCAAAATGGCGGCTCCAACATGGCCGATCCGAATTTCAAAAAATGCCGGGACTTGGACAAAAGTTTGTGTATGGGGGTTTTTTAGGTCGCTGATCATGAATCTGGCGTCAAAATACGCAAAATTAAAAAATGCCAGATCAAATATGGGCGACGCAAATTTAAAAAAAAAACGCGAATCCGAACAAAATCAGTATATAGGAGTTTTTTGGGTCGCTGATCGCGAATCTGAAGTCAAATGGGTCATTGATCGCGAATCTGACGTCAGATTGACAAAATTCAAGATGGCGGACCCCATAAGGCCGACCACAAGAATACCCTACCCTGTGGGCGCGGGGCCGATTCGAATTTTTACGGATTTTCACCAAGTTTTTGAGGTTAGAAAAAAAATGAGATGTGATAGCGGATTCGTGCTCAGCGTCGAAAAATACTATAGGATATGATAGTCTTGTAAAAAGTAGGCCACTTTTTTTTGTGTGGCTGTGTAATCTTGTTTTTGATACTCAAAAGCATGCTATGGTCAAAAAGTTTAATACTAAAGCTTGAACTTTGGAATATAAAAGTTAATTAAACTCAATATTAACAATATAACTTCCATGTCTCAGTAAAAATGTTCCTTAAAATATCCCCATAAAGAGTTTAACCTGGGATCATACTTCATTATTCTTTCAATCATACAATAATTGTAAATGTACAATTGAAATAAATTAATCAATATCCTAGTAGAATTTTTTTGTTCAAATCATTAAACAATAAATAGTTGCTAAGACCTTTCATTCAATATGCGGGAATATGTTGACAATATTTTTATTATTTTATTTCAATATAATAGAAAATACACCTAGATTTATTCTTTTTGTGTCAAAAACTGTTTATAGCCATAATTTATGAACATAATTGTAGTTGTATAAAGTGTAAATTGAGGTGAAAACCCTATATAGTCATCTCTAAGTTTACTTATTTCTATGGAACCATATCCATAATAAATTAAAGCAATAAACCAAATCTCATTTAAAATTAGTCTGTGGTATTACATTTAACAAATGGGTGGTGTATTCTTATTCTTTAATATTTTATAGTTTTTAAATCTTCTAATGCAATGTTATATCAATCAATAATTGGAAATTATTAAATTTACTTGGTCTAAAATAATTTTTAAATTCTGTATGCAATTGTAATACCACAAACTTTTTGTTTATATGATAGATTATGTAAACCGAAGTTTGGTACCGAGTATGGTACCTATTAAATTTTTTTCTCAAAGTTGTGATATTTTTTGTTAAAAGCCTATAGTTTGTTATAATTTATTCTATCTTAAACCATATTAAGAATTTACTTTATATATAAATATCAACAAGTTAACTTACATGAACAGAATTGTTATGTATTAATGGTGTAGGCTCATAAATACAGACTGTATTGTCATATGCAGCAGCAATTTTTCCTGTATCGCTGGAACAATCAATTGAACTAATTCGAACATAATCATGTACAGCTCCTGGAATAATCTGAACTCTCTCAAAAGTAGAAGCAAGAATTACAATATTACATCCTGCTGCATATGCCTAAAATAATATCTAGTTATTTATTTGTGAACAGAAAAAACTATTATAGCACCAAATACATTTCGTATACATAAGGCGCATATCTTTATTGCTTTAATTGATAAGAATTAAACTTACTGTAAATGGTACACCTTCAACAGAGCCTACTGCAAAACATTTGTCGCCTGCATTACAAGCACCGCTAACGATTTGATGTAGATTCATTTTGATAACATTTAAATCTTTAGTTATTTCTTAGTGCATTTTAACTTAATGTAAAACAATCAAAAGGACATATCAATTATAATTTGTTGTTAAATGTACGGCAAATGACAACTATTTTTGCATAAAATCAGCTGACCCGTTTGACAATTAGTTGTCATGTCGCATACCACAGACTATTTTGAAATTATCACAACTAGAGATGAGTTATTTTCACGGGTTTTTAGAATTTTTAGAAGTTGACTCGTTGGCAGGGTTCGGAAAACTACATTTTACTACATACTTTTAAAAACTACATAAACTACATTACATGTAGTTAATGTAGTTTATGTAGATGGTGTTGTTTATGTAAATGTAACTTTAAAATATCAAAGGTTTGAGGTGAGGTTATAATAAGTTTTAAAAACACATAATGTATTTAAGAAAATAGAAGAAATATGGCTTTAAATATAACTATTCACATCATATTATTTAGACTCCTCATATAAAGCAAAATTATTCATAATATCAATAGGTAGTTTATTAACGTAGTTTTCATGTAGTTAACGAACGGGAAAAGACGTAGTTTTAGAAGAAAAACTACACGTAGTTAATTAGGTAAATTACGTCTTAATTAACTACTTCCGAACCCTGCTCGTTGGTCTATCCATAAAATAATTAACTAGGGTCTATCTATGGGGTCTATCGATTGGTTGACAACTGACAACTGATGTTGACGTTCAAAGATTAACTGTATATTATGTATATTTCATTTAAACTATATCATTTTTAAAATACAAACCAAAAATCTGAGGAATAATTATGTTTTCCATGTATTCTACAATATATTTATTAATCCGTTATATCTAACTAGCGTGACGTCATAAATCTCGCCCGCAGGCTGATCTTTTAATAGAAGGCACTGGGCCAATTTACTTTTTTCTTAAAAAACAATTTCATAATTATAAGTAAAATCTAAAAATGCGTTGTGCAGTGGCTTTGTGTAAGACAGACAATCGGCGTGAAGGTTTTACCAAAGGTACTAGATTCTTTCGGTTTCCAGTGGATCTTAATGTGCAAAAACTTTGGATAAACGCTTGTAAACGCCTGGACAAATTTAATCTTAAATCTGCGAGAGTGTGCTCCAAACATTTTGCAGAAGATAGCTATGAAAGAAATTTAAAATATGAACTTTGTGATTTTTATTCCTCAAAAAACCAACGAATTTTAAAGACCAATGCAATACCATCCCTGAATTTGCCAAGCACCACTCATAATCCTAAAGTAAATCAGCGAAAAAAGCGGTTAACTAAAAGAAATCAGCCAGAATTAGTGGAGGAGGTCCTTTTAGACAAGTAAGTAAACACTTTAATCACATTATTTTTAGCTGGACTGGCTTTACATTTGTAACACAACTTAAATCTTTACTATTCATATAAATAGTTTTAAGTTTTGTGATCTTCTTTTTACTTGTAGTACTCAAAACTGCGTTGAGAGGGATAATGGTCCACCTGATAATAGTAGTAACATGATTGTTACCAATATTAATATTAGGAACACTGATGTCTTAGAGGTAGATTCAAGCAGTTCTCCTCAATCAACTTATAGGGAAATTAGGTATGGCATTGTATGTTTGTGTATAATAACTTGTGTAATCTAACAGTTCCTTTACAGTTTCTTTAAAATTGTATATAGTATACAATATATAAAGTAATCTCATATCATTTTTTAGCACCCAGACAGATGATGATAACAGGGATAAAACAATTTTAGAGTTAAAAGAGGAAATTGAACGTTTGAAAAATGAAAAAAGGATATTTGAAACAATTTTTACTCCTAATCAAATAAAAAAATTAAAAAACCCTGAGAAACGAGCATCATGGTCAAAAGAAGATGTAGAGAGAGCTATTGTTATACATTCAGCAGGGGCAGAAGCATATAGACTTCTTTTGAAAAATGGATATCCTTTACCTGCAGAATCTACTCTTAGAGCATGGTGTAAAAAAGTGAAATTAGAACTAGGGATTTTAAAACCAGTAAAATTTGATTTTGCTAATATAGTTTCAAAGTTTTTGGGAAAAAAATATAGAATATATACTAAACGTATACCAAAAGAATAGATCTAACACTAGGGTTGCCAACCGTCCTCTATTCCAGAGGACAGTCCTCTTTTTGATCTCACTGTCCTCTTTTCTCTCACATATTGAAAAAGTCCTGTTTTTTACATACCAAACTCAAAATCTAAAAAATATTTGTCTATCACCACAGTATTTTAAATAATTATTGTTAATTTGTCTTTCGCTACTCCCACTCGTTTGAACAGAAACGAAAATAAAGAAATATTTATGTACAAGAAATATTTGTGGAAGTTTATGTTTACTTACTGTTAACTTTTGTTTTGAAAATGGTTTGTTTTATTTTAACAAGTTATTTTGTGCTCTCGTCCTCTTAATTTTATTTTGAAAGTTGGCAACCCTATCTAACACATCAAGAAAAAAATGTGTGTTCTGTCGTTTGATGAAATCAAAGGCCGAAATGTATAACCTGTGGTATAACTCTATGATAAATCAAATGATTGAAGAGATGATAAATCAAATGATGAAGATGAGACCTTAACACCATTCAGTTATGTACAGGTAGCAATTCAATCAGGGGACTGTTCAGCAATTGGAAACAACCAATATTTTATTCTTTTGATTGTCAAATGACAAAGAATATTTAGAAACAAGGTTCAAGAACTTCAAATTTTCCAAGAAAATATTTTATTTGAGATCAGAAAATTTGCTAAAAATGCTGATTTTTCAATTGTAGCAATGGTAAGAAGGTAATTACTAGGGAATATTACAGATGTTATAAAATAATAATAATTATTTTTAACAGGTTAGCGATTTAGGCGGAGGAAACAGAGATCTGCATACTTGGTTCCCTAATCCACCAAAGGGAAATAAGACATACGTATTTGCTCATGTAGCGCATCTTATTACATTACTTCAGATAATTATGTAGATCAAGGATTTATTTTCAATGAAAAAAAAAATAAAAGTATTATAGAAAAACTTATACTCTTCACAAACCAAACCGATTTTAATATTGCCCATAAAATATCATTGGAAATTTTAAATTTGAAGGGAGCTGAAAGGCAAAAAGTTAAATAAACCATTATTTTAAGGCAGTTTTCTTTTTTTTTATGATAATTCGAACGATTCCAATCCAATAATTATATCTCAGTTGATAATTAAATAATAAAAAAACTTTTTGATAAAAAATTATTAGTTACTTATTACGTTACTCGATATTTAATGAATCATTGACTCAAAGCTAGAAAAAATGCAATAATTTTTTGTTTCAATGTACCTAAACATGACTAGGACTAAAAAAAACTAGAAAAAAAGTTTAAAACATTTCTTTGTTCATAGAAACTCAAATTTGTACAAATTTTCCCGAAACTCATAAAATAAATTATTGGAATTGTTCGAATTATTAATTAAAAATTGTTGAAATTATTGTGCATTGAAGACGATGAATATCTTTTAAACGGTTAATTTAATCGACTAATCATAAAGGTGCGTTTAGACTTCAACACGCACGAGCTGAGCGTGCGCGCACGGCATTCGTTCGCGTCATGTTCGCGCTCTCGGGTCCGTTTAAATTAAAAACTTATTTTTCGACGAATGAAGTGATCCACATTCATTGTTATGCACAGCTCAACAATGAAAATGAGCTAATAAAAAGAAGAAAAATCGAAAACATCGTCGCTGGTGGCAAACCCAAATTTTTAGAAGTCGATATAATTTATTAAACAACTTAGTGTCTGAGGAGGGCTATGTTCAATATTAATTTTATTTACAAGGTCATGCCATGTGTATTTTTTTGGGGATTTTGAATAATACGAAGAATGTTAAACATCCTATAATATCGGCAACTTTTCATAGTCATGAATTAATAATAGCGAAGATTCATTGGTCCACTCCATAATTTTAATAAAGAAAACGAAAAAAAATCAGACGCACGCACGCATGCAGACAAAACAAATTGCCGGTGCAAACTGAGCGTTCGCGCACACATAAAATCCCTTTGAGCACGGATCAAAAACTGACACCAGACGGCTCACGTTCGCAGCTGCTCGCGCACAGACACATTCAGAGTGAGCGTGCGCGCACAGCCGTTTACACTTGAGCATTCGCGAAGGATTAGTGCGTGCGTACTCGTCTAAATGCACCACAAGAAACCATTTTTGTAGAGCAGTGAATTTCTTACAAAAACATAAGTTGCGAGTATTATAATGATTTTTTGTTAACGAGATATAAAATTCAATTAAGCCCCACTACGCCTAATTTGTATACTTTTATTCCGGCTGGAATTTTTTCCGTTCTGTGCGTTTTGTTTCCGACAAGCTTGCATTTGAAAGAAACATGCCAAGAAAATATTGGTAGGATCATCCAAACACAGAACAGGAGAACTCTTAAAGGCCGGCAGGAATGGAGCGCGTACGCTCACTGCAGTATACACGGGCCACCAGGCAGGCTGAGATCAACCTGAAGAGGACGGGACAGGTGAAATACGCCGAATGCGGACTCTGAAATATGTTACGTGTAACTTCCCTGCCGGGACCAGGTTTGAGGTGTTGAGCAAACCCATGCTACACTATGGAGACTTGCGTCCAATGAGGTTAGATTACTTGCGTCTAGCCGGACCGTGCAACTTTGCAACCCGCAGTTCCGCATGCGTATTTGTCATGGTCGCGCATTTGCCACGGAGGTTAGAATCCGCTGTTATGTTTTGTTTTAATTTCGCACTCGCAGAATTTCTCCGTTGCTATATAAATTGTTTAAAGTAATTTTTAGAAGGTTCTACATAAAAATCGGTCGGGTATTTCGCCTGCAATCTAATCAAAAATAAACTTACCCTGGAGACCAGCCAACGCAATTATAATAGGTATAACAATAGGTAATAGCAAATTGCTATTACCGACAGCTGAGGATTACCGACAGTTCAAATAATAAAAACAGCTATAAAAAAAAAATAAAAAAGTTCTATATTTGTTGGAGATCAATCCTCGGACCCCTTGCTGCCGAAGCGGCCGCCTCACCCACGCGGCCACAGGCTGCTTTCGTAACCAGGCTATACCTAAGTATTACTTTGTTCTGTCGTTCCGCTGAAGACAAATGCGGAAAAACGCATGCGCAACTGCGGGTTGAAAAGTCACACAGTCCGGCTAGACGCAAGTGACTATGGAGGGTAGAGGTAAGGAGAAATATCTCTTATATGGGACTTTACTGGAAAAATTGGTCATCAAAATGGGAAGAATAAGGGCACACTAAATTACCACAGTGGCGCTAACAAGTAATAAAGGAGCGAACTGAACTTAGCGATTATAAATAAAGTGAAGTTAGTTAAAAAGAGAGGCAACATGCGCCTTCAGAAATCGCATATTTATCTATTTTTAATTATTTTATGTTCTAAAAATTTTTGGCGCTTCTGTCAAATGTAGAAATTTTGCTGCAAAAGTCTTCCCTCTTTTGTGACCACTTTTCAATACACGAAGATATTTGTCCTTACTTCTACGCTCCATATGCTAGACCTATCAGACCTGGGTAACATATTATCCTCGGACATAACAGCGTATGTTAAAAGGTCGGGTCTCGAGGGTGAATTTTAATAGTTTTTTCTCTTAAAAGGTTTGTAGAACCGAGTCACGATAGGCCCTCGCGGCCGCAGTGGTGCGTCCGACTTGGGACCCCCTCTTAGTAAATACAAATACAAACTGGAATCCTCAAAGATCAATACTTGAGGATTGAAGTTATCCGATTATTCCCAATACTAATGTAAACACTATCAAAATATTTAACAAATGTTGCCAATTGATCATTATTATTATTATTTTAGATTAATTCATTAAAAATAATATATTATCATTTTTAATGATTTTAATTTAATAAAAAAATAAGCGCACAAAAAATATTTTATTAACAAACCTAGTTTTACAGACTTGAGCAAAAATATTTTGATTCTCAGAATCTCTCTGATTTTATTTCATTTACCTCTGATATTTTCTCTCTGAAGAATAATCTCTATTACCCTCTCTTTCATATCTTCTATTTGTCTCTTGTTTATCTTTAACACTCTTATTATTGTGATACGGTTCATAGCGAATATTTTTTTCTTTGGAATTGCTATCATATGTAGTATAAGTACATTCGTTCAATTTTCCATTAGTACTCGATTTTAAGTCGACACTTTGAGAATAATTTATGCCATTATTATAACCATTATACATATGAGAGATGGACTGTGAATAATTTTGAGTTGGTTCTAGTACTACTGGCGTTCCTGCATACTCGTTCATGTATTGGCCTGAAATAAAAAAATATCTTCAAAAAAAATGTATAAAATTAAAGTGTAGGTAATATCTATTTCTAAAATGATGATTTAAACAACAAATTCACGAATCATTAATATGCAGGCATTTTTATTCATTCATTTATTTTTTTATTTTTCTTAAACATGCTCATTACACAGAAAAAGCCTTTGCCGAGGTCAAGCCCTATATATAGATGTCATTGTGCACGTTCAGGGGACACAGCGGCTGACTGACCGCTGCGCTGTTCCGTTCAGGGAAGTCGCTTACTCAGCCACTGACTATCCCTGAACGCGCTGATTACTTGGCCCGTACTCTTCTGTATTTTTTAATGGCACTTACTGCCAGTTGGCCTTAAGAAGATTGTAACTTATTCTGTACTCTGTAGTAGGAAACACCCCCCCCCCTCCTTCCTATTTCTCTATAAAAGTATGGTGGCATTATGATATCGCATTTAAACACAGATTCTTAAAATTAATATTGTTGCTACTAATTTTCCTGGGCATGATTGGTAGACTTGAATTTAAAATCTTCAATCTTTTGAAAATCTTAAAATATTCACAGTACACATATAACTGAAAAGCTCTATTGCTTTTCAAGTAATTCATTTGTCCCCTTCCAAGTATTTCAAATATACACGTTTGGTAATGTCAGATCTAGGCATAGCAATTACATGCATTGGAATGAAACGCCTATAAAAAGTCTAAGCTTAAACAGAAATGGGCAACCAAAGTTGCCAGGTCTACCGATTTCGTCTGTAAGCTACCGATCTACCGATTTAAACAAAGATCTTACGATTCAACATCGTCTTTAGTCTTTACAAGAGAAGCACTTTTAAAAATCTGACGCATTTGGACTAAAAATTAAGCGACCATTGCGGTTGCGTCGTAAACCGTATACTTTGACATTCGTAAATATTATTGTTTATTAAATTTTGTTTAGAAATTATAGGTCATCGTTCTGTCAGGTCGCAAAATTACAGAGATATTCCCAAAAATTCTTATCGCTTATTATGCGCTGTATTGCCGGCATTAACAATGTATATACCGGGTGCGTCTCAAAAGTGGCTCACCCCTATAACTTCTTTATTTTTTCAGATAAGACAAGATTTGGTATGTTGGTATATGACATATATTGGGATTGATTGACGTATTCAATTGTTTTCGGTCACTTCCGGTTTCACCGGAAATGACTACAACTTTAGATTTTTAATTGGTACCCTCGGTATTTTTTTTACTTTATTCGATAGAAAATGACACTCTGAATCCAATGACATATCATATGTCAACTTTTGGCATTTTGGCATATGGTTTATTTGAACTTGTAACATGCGGTTGATAACGACAATTTGACTCAAAATACCAAGTGTGTGGTATCAAATTATTCGTAAGCAAATGCTTTTTCCAAATATGCTAATGAACCACCCTCGTTCCACTTGAAAAAATTGAGATATGATTAAAAATACGATTTGAGCATGTTTTAACCGGCCAGAACAAGACAGTAAAAACATTAGACGATCAAATCTATTTTTCCGAGGCTCCTTGATTAAAAATTAGTGTTTTTAATACAGCTATGGCACTCTAGATTGAAATTTAAAATAAAATTTATTTTTGAGTGACTATGTCAAAAATTGACATATGATATGTCATTCGATTCAGAATGTTATTTTCTATTGAATAAAATAAAAAAATACCGAGGGTGCCATTCAAAAATCAAAAGTTGCAGTCATGTCCGGTGAAACCGGAAGTGACCGATAACAATTGAATACGTCAATCAATCCCAATTTATCTCATACACTAACATACCAAATCTGGTTGTTTTATCTGAAAAAATAAAAAAAGTTATAGGGGTGAGCCACTTTTGAGACGCACCCGGTATATCCTAACCAACAACAATGTACATATCGTTAATTTTGTCGCGCCTCGTGTCGCCTCGGCGAGTGTGTACTTTAAGCATAACAAATCTGGCAACCCTGTTCTGCCACTCGTCACTAAGTTTTTTTTGCCGAATTCTTTTTTGTCGAAGTTCTGCCGCCGATGCGAGGCAGACGCCTGTGGCCCCGCCCCCACTCCCAGAAGCAATCACCTCACTTATCGCGTCACTTCTTTTAATCAGTGGAAGGGAAAATAAAGTTATCTGTCTGTGTTAAAGGGTAGGCTGCAGTCGTGTCATTTTTTTTTATTTGCACTGAAAATCTCTTATGCAAAGTATTCCTTTGCCAGAACGGTGTACACAAGAATAGGCATATTTTAATAAACGAGAATGCATATCTAAAATTTTCCGTTTTACCACGCAACACAATCGTTTAATGTACGGATATGTATTGAAGGAGAGAGGAGAGTGATAGTCTCAAACTGTTCCAATCCCGTGTCATTAGTATTATTTTATTATTCTAATGCTATTTTTTTTAAATATCTTTACTGTACTTGTATGTGGTTTGATAAATAATCTATATCCAAATAGCTTTTATGCGTTAAGTAAAAAAATATATTGATTGCCTTCTAAAGGTTGATTCTGACAATACCTTCCGTTTCCATTCCATATCCATTCCATATTCGTTCCGTATTTTTATTGTATTGGCGCTATACGTAAGCGTCCGTTCCCTATCAGTTCCATACTTTTTATTGTACAATTTATATCATTACAAAAGTTTTATTTTAAAAATTTGTATCTTTTGAAAAAGGTAATAGATTTAATTAAGAGGTGAAAGAATAAATAAATATCAGCAAAATTTTAACAGTGCTGGTACAAATGTAAGAACTTGACAACGCTGTTTCCGATACGTTTCAGTCCGTCCGCCAAAAAAATGTATGGAAGGAAAGGATCTGGAACGGAAGGGAAACGGAACGGATAGTATGCATTGTCCTATTGATTTACATGATATAATATTTTATGTGAACGGAACGTAAACGGAAGGGAGCTGATATGGAAGGTATAGTGAGAATCAACCTTTATCTGGATAATTAAATACAAATTAAACAATGATATTAAAACCCGAGAAATCCTGTCCAATTAACTATCCGCGAGGAATATTGCCACAGCTTTCAATACCGAGCATATCATCAGTTCTGTAACTGATTATAAGCTATTACCGCCAAAAAGCTATTATAATATCAATAAATAATTTAGAATACTTACTAGGTTCAATATTAAAATCAGTATCGACAACTCCCTGATATACATGGCTCCAGTCTGTGATGACGCCTTCGCTATTTGTAATGTTACCATAGTACTGAGTTCCATAAGTTTCATTAGTAAAATTATTTTGCGGTTGATTTTGATAAGTAGTTTCTATATAATGATATTCGCTTTGGTCTTCACGACGGCACGCTTCTTCTTCAGCCAGCTTCTCTTTTTCCTTTTGTCGTTCTTTTTCTCGCCTTTCCTGTTTTTCCTTTTGTTTGATCCATTGGGTGTACAACTCCATTTGGTTATCGATAACCTCCCTAGTGACTTCAGTATGACTTTTCTTGCTTGTGTGTACGGATTTATATTTGACTCTACGACGTTTCGCATCTCTTTCTAAAGCAAGTTTTTCTTTTTCGCTCAATCCTTTGCCGTTTTTCGAGTCTGGTATTTCGCTAAAAAATAAATCATGAATATATTTTATCTTGCAAGTATATTTCTGATACAGTCATTATAACTAAATATTTGAACGAAGGAGAAAATAATATGTAGTTTAAAAATTACGACGATCGACATGTTTTAATATTGTTGCGAAAACAAAATGCCGTTGAACGACATCTCTCGATAATAAACCGAAAAATCTATAAAACGAGAGCCAACCAACAGAGTGCTGAGTGCCAGCTTGGATCAGTTGGGTAAAGTTGAAGATGTCCAATCGAATGTTCTAGTTCGCTAAAGCATAAATAAGGATAGACACCATATTGGGTTTACTAGATTTAAAGGTACCGGCCAGTCGAACTGACTACGAGCTACCGACGATTTTAACTTTACATTGAAATAAATGTAACCCCGCGCACTGAATTGGACCCATCGACTTCGACCGGTCGTCGGTATCGTCGGTACCCGGCGAAACCGGAGAATGCTGGAAAGGAGGCAAAAACTTACGAATGGTCTAACGCCGAGCGACTGTTTTTAGTGAAGCGTTTTTGATAGCCAGTGGAATCATGTCATCAAACATGTCTGCCGAATTAGTAATCTATGGCCGAATTGTTAATTGATTGTGTACGAGACTATATTATTGCTGTGCTCTATTCGCGAATTCCAAGTTCCAGAGCTGGTTAAGCCCTGGGTTACCCGAGAATGGTTCTGAAAATAGACTGGTGCCTAAACATGTCAATTGTCAAGTTGAAAACATCGTCAAACTTGAAAAAGTTAATTCCAAAGGATGTTTTAAGATGGATAAAGTGGATATTGATTTCTCCATATCTCCATAATTTTTTAAATCGGGAACCCAAAAATCTCAAAATAGCTGGGAACTCCGAACACTAATTTATTGGAAGGTGCTCGAAGGGAAAGGGGATCTCGGCGCGGAATAGTTCTGAACTTTATGACTCAATTGAATGGAGGGAGAGTATCGCGTTCTTGAACAGTTCAGAGCGGCACAACTGCGTGAATGGAGGACAGTATATATACAATCCACAAAATAGATATTATTACAAGAGTGTACGCAAGGAATATAGAGAACATAATATTTATGTTTGAATAAAAAATTTATACATAATATCATACATCATATACCGTATGATCGAAAAGAAAACGGCGTCCAGTTGGCTGGGAAATGACGATTGATGACATTTTCCATATAAAATGACAGCGATCTTCATTTCATAGCCATCGCTGATGCCGTTTTTTCTCGATCATACTGTAGCAGCCATAACAATGTGGGGAATCTTATTTGGTCGTAGCTCTACCACCTGGAGAGTCAGTTTTTTATTTAAATCTTTTTTTGCGCCTTGCATATTTGAATTCGATTCTCATTTTACTCTCGCTACTGTACGCTGAAACAACTATTCTTATTGTATTCATTTTATTATCCTGTGGCCATAAATTGTAAAACTGTACTTTTAAAAGTTAGTAGAAAGGCTTGATAGGTAAGATTGTACCATATATATATAAAATTTTCCCCCTGCTAAGTAAATGTATAGTATTTTAGATACCAAGAATAAAGAATTTTCGGAGTGTTTTTCGAAGAGTTTTCTTTGACTTGAGCGAACCCCTAACCCTTTATAAGAGTTTTGTTACATCTTGGAGTGCTACATATTTTAATGCTAAAAAAGTGTGGATAAAGTCATCAGGGTTATCAATGTTATCATGGGTTATCACTGGAATATTTTTCAAAAAAAAAACATGTGCGCCACTAACTTTTTTTCTTTGGATATCAAAATTGAGTAGGCCGTTTAATGCCAATTTGATAAGATAAACGCTATTTTATTAATCACAATTAATAAAATTAAAATAAAAATGAAATTAATAAATTATATATTTTACGTAATCTATTGTTATTACTATTAGTCTAAGCTACAGAGCAATTTCAAATAAAAAATTACGGTTTTTAAGATAATTACGAAAAACCTAATTTTAAAAAGTTTTAACATTCTGTAACTCTAAAACTATGCATTTCCATTGTTTATAGGAACTTTTTTTTATATTTTCTGATGATGAATCAATGAGTACGTATTTAAAACATTCGCAAGTTAATGATAATAAAATATTTTAAAGGTTGCTATCAGACTTGGATCAAGGCAAATTAAAAAAATTGCGTTTATCTCATCAAGTAGGCCGAAATCGACGAAATATGAAGAGAAAACTTTTAATCGGCATTAAATTGCTTACACTGTTTCGCTAAAAAAATCAGTGGCGTACAGGCTTTTTTTTGAAAAAATATTCCAGTGATAACCCATATACACGTCCTTGGTGAATATGGCGACACTTTTTTAGCCTTAAAATATGTTGTGAAACAAACTTTTACCCTCAAAATTTCATTTGAAACGCTAAGTACTTGGAAGAAAATTATAATAAATCGAAAAAATATTACGAGTTTAACCCTGAGTTACCTGAGCACCCTGGCCCTGTAGCTAGGAAACACAGCAGAATCAGACTTATGTTGCATGATATGAAAAATAAATCTTATTTTTACGTGAGAAATCTCCCCACAAGAGATGACACATGTTTTTTGAAACACCCTGTATATGTAATGCGCAGTACTGGACAGCAGTAGTCTACCGGCAGACAGACGGTCCGCACTGTGGTCAGGAAAGCACACACTGAAAAAAAGGATCTCTCAGTCGAAATGAATATGACTTTGACCCAAAAGATTGGGCTTTTCAATAGGGCCAAGAACGACGTTTCTTTACCCAAAGTATTAACTATCTTTTCATAAGCTTTAAAAAATTACTTTAGAGAATAGAAGAATCTATCTGTCCAAAGTAATTCACTCTTGACCCAAAATTAATATGCAAAGAAGTTCTTGCTACAAGAACAATAGTCTCTTTGATTCATGCAAAAATTCTTCATTGAAAAGGGACATTTCTTGATTAAGGGACACTTTTCTTAAAACAATAGCGAATACTATTGACTCAACTAAAATTTATTTTGATCTAAGTGAAGTCTATATACATCATATACAGGCATATTACGAGGTATATTATTTTCTGATAAATTTAGGTTTTCCTGGTCTGTAGTAAGTAAAATTATATTATTTTCCTCGGCAGTAGTTATTTCTGCTTCTTCACTCCTTGGTATTTTTTGGGGTGGTTCATCACTCTACAAATTACAAAAAAATGTTACAGCACGATTAATCAAAGTAAAGCAAATAAATTATTAAAATTATAAGCTTTGGTCACATTTTGAATTTTTTAATACGACGACTTGAAATTCTAAAATTTTTGTAATTAATTGCATAAAAAAATCGATACCTATATTCTTATTCTATCTATAGTCACGCATGCATTATCTAAACAGGTGCATTAGGTAAATGTCTCTTACCTTCAAATATAGCAGAAATGCACCGTTTTACTTCTGCACTGTCATCAATTACCGCGTCAAAAGGTCCGTTCGTCTAATTCTAATATAAATATTTGAGAATTAAAAGCGGCAACGTCGTGGGTCTGGCGAAAACGAACAAACCTCTATTTTTTATATAAATGGGACAAATTAAACGGTCCAGCATCAGGGCCTGAAGGCATCGCTTGAACATTTTTCGTCCGATATACCCCGGGTCTGACGGCCTATCTTCAACGTACCGGGTCTGACTCCGTCGATTTAATAAATATATATATATATATATATATATATATATATATATATATATATATATAATATATATATATATAAAATTATATAAGTGCAATTTGGAAAAATTCAAAAAAAATAAAAAGGTAAATCTTTTGATATCTCCAGAAGGTCTAATGTGTATTATAATTTGTTATTCAAGATAATAAAATATTTTAAATGAGTAATGAACATGCCGCGGCCGGCTTCTTCAACTATGGTAGGAAGTATAGTTTTGCATAGTACCAAAATATCAATATCGAATATTAAAAGATTTAGAATATTTGTTTAAAATAAGTGTGCAGTGATCTTAAACTAATTATTTCAAAAAAGAATACAAAAGAGTACAAAATTAAAAAAAAGAAACAGTACATTGCATTATTCCAAAAAATTTAAAAATTTAATTAATTTAAATAGATGTATAATAAATATGTTTACAACAATGTCCATGTATGGATGTCTACGTCCTACCGTGGTCTAAATGGGACTAGCAAATTCTACATCACTTTTACAGTGCTTTATTATCCAGTTTTTGAATATTCGCCTGTGAATATTGAGCGGAATTAATCCCTTCCGCTTATACTGGTTAATACAACATTATTATAATTTAATTCTGAAGAAGTTTATACTTTTTTCGTCTCAACATATGTTGAATATAAACATACATACCGTGCTAGCAACTGTTACTTTTGGGTCGGCATTTACATGTGTGGAAGTAAATCGCATAGGGATCTTATTAAGTGAGAGAGAAATGCGACGGTGTGCTGTTGCGGCGTTGCCGGTACACCTTTCCCTATCAAGTAAAGTAAAATCACGATCGCAAACCGCTTATTTTTAAAAGACTTTTTTTTTCGAAAAGATAACTAGATAAAATCATTAGACATGTTTCTGAGCATCTGAAATTGAATTATAAGGATATCGTTAGGGTGTCATAAGAAAAATTCGATGAGGTTGTTTTTTCCATTCAAAAATTGTAAACAACCCATCCATTTACTTTTAGAGCATAGCAATTTTCAGCAATTGTGTAATTTTTTTATTGATAAAGATTTTCACATACTGTCTACGAAGAAAATACAGCAGAAATATTAAGAAAGCTTTTGAAAAAACTACAATCAATTATTTCTAATAGATTTCGAGATATCGATTTTTGAATTCAGAGTTCTAATAGCATGACCACTATCGAACACCAACTCAATTCCACTTATTTTTACCAAGAATGCAGTGTTTCTAGCTTGCACTTAAAAAAATTCAAGCTATAGGGAAAATTACAACGACTCTTTAATAAATAAACAAATAAAGTATCACGAGACGTAATTAAATCGTGAAGCTGAACGCACGATGTACACCTTTCCCTAGAACTTAAGTACTGACAGAGGTACTGATTGGGTCGACCGGTCAACTGCGAAAAATCTGCTATATCCCCTTCCACTTCTCTTAGCGATGTGCACAGTTTCTCGGTTTATTTCATACATTTGGCAACGTGTTTACTGTTCTCTCTTTGTTCAGTACATTATAAATGCATTGTACTCTTCTTACATATGGAAATCTCGACCCAAGACTAACCTTTGCCAGCCCTTAGTATAATTTGTTTTATTTAAAAAACAAGCCTGTAATTGACATAATTGTTATGTAGCATATTCTAAGTAAATTTAAAAAATATATTAAAACTATCGATTGAATTTTTTTTTTCATAAGGGGCCGTCCTCCGCCGGAAACACTGCGACCTGTGAGGCCTATTGTGTTTGTCCCCTTTCTATATTTTACCCATTCTCCTATCCCTGTGCCCTGCACTAACTCATGCAAGTCCTTGATAGGCTGGGAGCATAGTTCCTCCGGTTCTAGCCTAGCTTTCCCAAATAAAAAGTGTCGCTTGCGATCCAGAGCCTCGCAGTGACATATTATGTGCTCCGCTGTTTCAGGATCTTTATCGCAGAGTCGGCAGCAAAGACTTCCTTGATACAGGTTGAGCTTGTTCAGGTAACACTTGACAGCCATGTGTCCTGTCAAGAGACCTGTTGTAATCCGCAATTTATTCCTGCTAAGCATTAGCAGTTCTTTTGCGGTTTTAGAGCTAGGTCCTAAAACCTTTGGTGTGCCTGTACCCCTGTCTCTTTCTCCAGTGGACATTCTGCTTTTCCCTGATCCAGAGTTTTAGTGCACTACGGGCCATACATTGAAATTTTTAGTATGCGAACAATCACGAGGTGGCACTTCATTTACTTTATTAAACAAAAACTAACTAAAGCCGGGAAGATTTTTGTTTGCCATTATATATTTTAGAGCGGCCGAAGAATGCTCTTTTCCATCGTTTGGCGCGAGATCCTTAATATCTCATTCAAATTGTTAAAGTTGTTTGTCGTTTCGTTGGAGAACCAACCATTGGACAGCCCACCTGATGAAGGCTAGGCCCAGAAACCTGTCGTGGGAGTTGGACTTGGTTCCCCCCTTAACGATAAACATAACAATAATTTTTTCCTTTTTGTTTTTCATTTGTTGATTTTGAAAAATTGAAAATATAGCAGCTCAAGTCAAGAATTTTGTATTTAGTAATTTATACTAAACGCTGCAAGAAAACTTTTGTTTACTATTATAAAAATATTTTTTGACATCTTAAACCCATAGTATGAAACATATCAAGATTACAAGACAAAAAATATAACATTCCAAATATTTGTGAACAGCAAAGTAGGCAAGTATAAACTAGCTTATTGTAAATATGATTAAATAAATATAATTTATTGCTACTTACAGAGTAAATTCAGGTGGTTTAGATGGCCCTGCAGTATTTTTTACTGAATAATCATATAATGCTAATCTCTCATCTGAAGAAAAGGTGCTTAAAAGGCGATCTGAAGTCATTGCATCACTTTCATGTCCATTCCATACTAAAGAAATACATTTTTAATTATTAGGTTGCCCTAAATAGCTTATAAACAATAAAAATTTACATGTGTTTTCAAATAGTTACTATTTAAACAGAACAGTCTCAAAATAATTATTAATAAATGTTATAAATTTATGTAAAACTATCTTAAACAAAATATACCTACACAAAATTTCAGTCTTTAAAAAATTACAATTAAACTTATTCATTATTATTTTGCTTTAAAATTTTAGATATTCTATAATATATAAAATTTTGCTGCAAAAATTATTATTTAAACAATCTTATTTTTATTCGTAATTTTACAAATCTATTGTAAAAATCTTGAAAATTGAGTCTGTACTGTAAATTAAAATCAAAGTTTATTGTAATGACTGTTTAGTAATCTATATATTATAACTTAAATTGTAGTGAAAAAATACCAGTTACCTATTATTAAAAAGGATATTAAAAAAGGATATATCTATAATCAATGGAAATAAATATTTTTATTATGTATATCATTTCTACGCAATACCAACTGTAATAGCAAGTTTCTGAAAAAAATTAGGCATGTTAAATATACCGTAAGTTGTAAAATATAGACACAATTTATCAGTATTTTAAATACCCACATTTCATATAGCACAATATCAATTTATGGATCATCAATAGAAAATAAATTAGTCCATATTCATGTGGATATACACAATCTTCCAGAACTCATTTTAAGAGAGACTTACTAATATATAAAAATATAAATTCTTATATAAGGTAGGGTCAGGTAACTGGGACTCGGGGTGTCTGGGCCATACAACATTATTTAGGTGTTCATACATTTTATTCTTGTTCTTTAAACACAATTAAACGTTTTTTTATTTATATGGACCTTTATCTTTCAAATGCATAAATTTATCAACATGAAAAATAAATATTTTTTACTACAAAGATAAAAGTTGTAAAATCGGGTCCCTGTTACCCCACCTTACCTTACTACCTCTCTTAAAAGAAGCTGTTAAAAGTTACTTCTACAATTTTTTAATGTTATAACATCTCACATACTTGCTCTAAAACCACTATTTGATATTCTGGCATGATTCAGAACATCAATTTTTGTCTTATTATCCAGTTTAATACAGCTACCATTCTCATTCTCAGGTGGGTCTGACAAAAAATTATTATCGGTCTGATAGCCACAAAAATTTAATTTGCATTTTTTTATGTGCTCTTCTGCAGACTTTGAAGATATTGTATGTTTTTTATTTATAGGACAAGTGACGTTGATATCATTACTCTATAATATAAGTATCAAAATATTAATAGTCTGATTACTTAAGGTAAGCAAATAAACATACCTCTGAAGTCTTTTTGGACGTCCAGCCTAAACTTTGCAAAACAGCATTAACACTATCTTCTGATGATGAAATGTACTGTTTCAAACTTTTTAATTGCTTTTTTCTTACTTCTATATTAAAATCCATTTTTTTTTGTTAACAAATAGCTATTTACAGTATTTTTTTAGTATCCTGAGTATGTAACAAATAAAATTTATATAAATATAATCATGTAAAATACATAAATTTACAGACGATACAAAATACAGATCCTAGATTTTGATCATTTGATTTTAACTTTTTCTTCAATAAAATTTCTTAATTTTAAAATATTAAATTTAACAAAATACCACAGATAAAATGGGACCAATTAACCTAAAAACAGCAAATAGCAAATAGCTTTTATATGTTTTCTGTGGTACCTGTAAATTTTTATCCAGGAAAGGGCGTTGATTGTTTTCCTTCTTTTTTTACATTTTATTTTTTACGTTGTTAGTCTTTATCTTTGGTCAACCCTGGTAAGTTAAAAAAGTTGAAATTTGAAATCACAAAATAATAGATATAACGGGTGAAATTAAAATAAAAAATTAGAACATTTCCATCCGTAACTTGAACCAACTTGAACGAGCTTTGTGAACGATTCTATCTGATGTCTATGATCTCTATTTAAACATATACGTACTTATGATATATGTTATATCCATATTTAACCTTCAAATGACCTTATTTACTCTTTATACTTATTTATTGTTATTCATGTTGTTATTCATTGTTTATTCCAAAGTTAAACGTTCGTTCTAATATAACTCATAAACAATCATATCACAGAATCATATTATGTTTCTTGAGAATCTTTTCAACTACGATGTTCCCATGGTCTCTCTAACATATATGATCTAGGCTTTAAATCAGCATATAAATACACATATAGTTTTTTTTATATGATGAGCATTATGATCAGATCTATATCTCTGGTATGATCCTATAATCCTATAATTTCCTGTCATTTCTATCCTAACCTAAATTAAATAATGCAGTTTGAGTTTGATAAATAAATGAGATTTCAGAATAGGAAATAGGAAACAGGAGTAGTAGAAAACAGTATTTTTTATGGCATATATTCTTTGATTTGAACTTAAGTCAATGACTATTGTTAGTTAATAAAAAAAGGAATGTCTCAATTAGCGAGATCTTTTCAAAGACTATCATTAAATAATACTTTTATTGATATTCAAAAAGTATTTATACGAGGTAAAGCTAAATATGTAGAAAAACCTACAACCGGGCATGGGGTTGCTTTTCGGCGAATTATTCATTTTCCTGAAAAGTATACAGTAAAACCATTAAATGTTACAAACTTGGGAGGAAGGGATCCTCAATCAGGTAGACTAGTAGTCAAAGGAATTGGCGGTGGAATTAAACACAAATATCACTGGATTGATTGGAAAAGAGTAGGTCCTAAAGAGGGGCCACCTTTGGTAATTATGTTATGTTTTAATAATTAAAATGTGTTATATAACACAACAATAAGATGAGGCAATAAATTGGTTTATTATAATTTTTATTTTTCAAGGTTGAGAGGGTTATTAAGATTATAAAAGATGGATGTAGGACATCTAATGTAGCATTGGTAGCAAGTGCGGACAAGCTAAAATATATTTTAGCAACAGAAAACATGAAGGTTGGAGATCTAATTAAGACATCGTGTCACATACCCAGAATACCAGGTATCTGCTTTTTTACAAAATTAGTTACCTTTTAAAACATTATAAATATTAATATAATTTATTTATTAGTAAGGGCTAATGAAGGCGATGCTTATCCATTAGGAGCCTTACCATTAGGTACACAAATTCATTGTGTAGAAAAATATCCAGGGTTAGGGGGTTTTTTGGTTCATTCTGCAGGAACGTATGCTACAATTCTCAGAAAGGCGCCAAATAATCATATCGTTATAATGACGCCAAGCAAAAAAGAATTTAGGTAAAGGAACATTATAATTTTTAAATTAAAATATTTGATTCAATATGTATCATGACCTAAATTATATAACTGTTCTAGTTTACCTGAAGAATGTATGTGTACAGTTGGAAGGCTGAGTAATATTGAACATTCTAGTACACCTATTGGCTCAGCTCAAAAAAATAGGGAACTTGGTAACAGACCACGGTCAGGTAAATTCTTAATATTTTTTTTTTAGAATCTAGTAACAAGTAACATTCTAATTAGGATTGTGGCAAAGGAAGACAGGCAGACATGGAAGGAAAATTAGAAGGCCACCACCAACTAAAACTATTGTTGCTCCAAATGCAGAAAAGATAGATGAAATTATATTCAGTTCTGATCGTTATTTTGTTAGAACTTTGAGGAGTCAATTTCATTATTAAATAGAATATACCATTTTTATGATGCTTCTTTTGTGAACTTATAGCAAAATACACCATAATTAAATTACTGTTACACCATTAATAAAATTACTACCTCATTTATTAACTTCAATAATTATTTTTATTACATTATTTTCTATTATCCAGAAAACAGGTGTATTTCAGAGGTGTAATTGGTCCAAGTCACGGAAGATATACTTGACCCAAGAAGTTTGTACCGTGTCAATCGCCTTTAATAGAGTTGTTCGAAGAAAATTTTCATCCTGTCAAATACTCAAAATACGTTAAAAAAACACTATATTTGATGGCGGAGCGGTCTAAAATAAGAACATTAGATTCATTGGATTTAACAGTTTTTTATTTGCAAATAATTTTCCAAATAACATTTATATAAAGAAAAATTTTCACTGGATTCAAAAAAAAAGTTTGATAATACAAGTACACTACAAATATGAATTACTTTTGGTTTGTTTATAGTTTATACTCGGTAAGCTAAAAAATCGCTAGATTAAGTGGCAAATCGCTGAGTTGGCAACACAGGCACACAGCACCACAATGCCAAATACGCCGTAGGCGTGTTTTGATTGTGGTTTTGATCATAAAGTTTTGATTGCGTTGGTTAGTCTCTGGGGTAAGTTTTTTTTGTTTAGATTGCACGCGAAATAATGGAAATACGCGACCGATTATCGTTTATGCGCCTGCAGAACTGCGAAATTAAGGGTAAGGTTGACTAGTGGGACAAGTGGGACGTAGAAGCTAGTAGAAGCAAGTGGTCACAGCCATAAAATAATTAACTAGAACACAGCAAGTGATCAAATGTGAATGTAGATAACCAGTAAAACAGTTGTACATTTTGTAAACAGAATTTTTAACCTCAATCACTGAATTAAACAATAATTTATGTTTTGTGTTCAATTTGTTTTCTTTTTCATCAGTTTTGTTGTTGCAAGAGGTGGAAAGGTTATTTGGGTTCGTTATGCAGAAAACAAAAAGAATTGTATTTAAACAACAGCTAAGAAAGTCTGAAGGAATAGAAATTGTCTGGAATAATTCAAGCTCTGAGGATGAAAGTACATGTTACAATTACAATAACTTACCAGACTTTTATTCCATAAAAAAATATAATCCCTTTAACTATGATCCAGTGAATGTTGAAACTAGTGATAAAGATGATTGTATTTCACCCCTTATTAGCTGTAGTTTTGTTCATTCAGAAAGGATATCACCTGAGCTAACTAAGAAAAGTGCCTTGTATGAAAGTAGCCTTTCACCCATTGTAGAAAAACGTCGTGTCTATTTAAGAAATCGCAAAAGAATTAGAAGAAATTTATCTCCAGAAATGACCGTTCTTCAAGGAACTCAATGTATTGAAATATCATCACCATCAAAAGAACTCTCATCGCAGTTGGAGCCTCAGATAGAACAGTTTCCTAGCCAGTCGAGAACGCAGCTAGTTCAACCTAATTTAGAATGGAATAACTTATATTTTATACCATCAAAAAAGAGGAAAAAATTTAGAAAAGGTAGTTTAACATATAAAATTTATAAAAGTTTAAAGGGTGCACACAATAGGATCAAATTTTGGTACCATGAAAAATCCTGTGATATTGATAGTACTTTAAATAATCAAGAACATAATATACTATTTAGAATTTCTGATGTACGGAAAGAATATGGAAGTACTTTGATAAGTTGTGATATGGTTGAAATGGTCGGTAATGAAGAGAGTGTTACTTATAAGTTTACCGATACAAAGTTAATGCTAATAAATGTAGGTATAAATTTTATCTTATGTTTTGAATGGGAAAAAGATGAACTATATAGGCTTTATTTGCCTTATAAAGCTTGCAAACTGATTTATAATAATAAGGAAGTTGTATATTTTAGCAATGTTTCAAGAATTCTAAAAAACAAAGAATTATAAGGGATTGTTAGTGTATATTTATTATGTTTAAATAAATATGGTATTAAAAAAACTTAAGTTTAATTTTTTTTATTTGATATTATTTGTAGTTTAAAGTAATATATTTTTTTATTGGCACAATAATATTCAAATACATAATAACCTTTGAGCAAAAGATTTTGTTTAATGCGTAAAAATGGGTTAAAATTTACCCACAAAATGAAAAATATTGACTTAAAGCTTGCAAACTGATTTCAGTTCATGATGCTTTGGTTGTCAATATCTTTTTATAAGTAGGTACATTTTGTTATATACTTTGATACCTTACATATGTCTTCATAATGTGATCTTTTTCATTGTAGAACTGATATACCTACTTTTTATATAAGGTAAAGGAATTTTTCGTTAGATATAGATACATGTGATTTTGATTAGAGAGATAAGAGATAATAGGTTTTCAGTTTAATTAGTATAGTTATACTATAAAGTAAAAAAAAACTCATAGATTTCACAATCGCTGCAAACATTGGAAATGATAACACCACATATAAAACATAATAAAATTATATAAGAGTTTCTTGCCTTGAACTGCTAATATAGAAATTAATTCCACGCTGTGTTCGACATAATGTGGATCAACCTGCTCTCACTACCGGTTTCGGGGCCCTACCCCATCATCAGGTGAGCTTGGGTATTTCCATAAAACGACGAGCACAGCGCAGAGTATATACAGTACATCTGCTGAATCTGTGTCTATGAAAGGAATGCGGACAAAAAACATTTTAATAAACAGCAATATATTTTATACGTCGATTTGACGAGTGCGTCACCGCAAATCGCTCCGCCCACTCATTTTATTGGCTACTTGCAAATTTGTTGAATTTTTATTGATGGGACGCGTCGTCTATTTTTTTACGAAAAACATCGAGAGTATATCGTTTCCCCTCTTACGGATACTTCGTAGCTACAGAACGGACAGACGTACTGTACATACGACTTGTCGTAAAGTAGCGGTAAGATATTAAGTCCCCCATCGCGAGATAGCGGCCTGTGTGCAATGGTAGTACTTTCGTACCACCGAGGCACAACTATCGATAGTAAATAAAGGCTTTTTTCGGCTAGCCCAAAATATATAATGGAAAATAAATTTCTTGCAGTTTTTAGGTATATAATAAAATTATATAAGAGTTTCTTGCCTTGAACTGCTAATATAGTTCAAGGCAAGAAACTCTTATATAATTTTATTATATACCTAAAAACTGCAAGAAATTTATTTTCCATTATAAAACATAATTAACGTTATGATTAACGTTACACATTTAACGTTATGATTAACGTTACACATTTAACGTTATGATCATACAGATACCTTGAAATTCAGTAAATATATTATATTTTTTAATCCTTAAATCCTTTCTGAAATATATCAATACCTAAATATAAATATCGTTTCATTACAAACAACATAAATAATTATTGTCAAAACCCAAATCAAAAATTACGAAAATAGTACTGTTTTGTAACCTTTGTAAATATCAATATCAATCTATTCAATTTTATAATCGCCCCCCGTAGCATAGTCGTCAAGTAATATCGTCGGGACCTTTGAATAAGAAGACTAAGGAAGGAGCATATCAAAAATCTTAGGTCCACCGCGATGGGCCTCAAATATGGCCGACTTAAATTTCGGTTTATCAGTGCCGTTCTAATTTTATTTAAAAAATGTAAAACTATGATGTAGGGTAGACGTGAGGTAGACTCAATAATTTGTTATTTTATTTTACGTTGTTAATAAATGTTGGTAGTTATTAAAATTGTTATAAAAATATATAATTCTAATAAAAATAGATAAGTTATAATAAGTATTTATTAACACAAACATCTGATACGCTACTGAAGCAGGTAAGTCAAATTAACGTATCAAAATTCTTTGACATCTGATTTTTGACAAGTAGTAAATAAAAGCTAAAATGCAAGAAAATATATAATTTAGTTAATTTAAGTGAATTTCATAAATGATCGGTTTACTACACGTATGTATATTATATAGTCACTTACTAGCGAAAAGTTGTTCCATTATTTCACTCAATTTTTGCGAAGATCTACCGCACGCTACACAACCAACTATTTTAGAGTCTTTTTCGATAAATCGCGAGAATGTGACTGTTAATTTAAGTTCTGCCACAATTTCCATCTAGATTTACTACCTTTATACAACTATCAATAGTAGAATAAATAATAAATAACATAAAATAAGCTCCGTAAAGACTGACAAATCCACAAAATTTCAAATCAAATTCAAATGTGTCAAATTAATCGTCAAACAGAACTGTCAAGGATCCCCACCCTAGAGTGCTTTTATGGTGCTTTTTCCGCCCACCATGCATGAATACATGGATAGCATTATGCTCCTTCCTTAGTCTTTTTATTCAAAGGTCGGGACTAACAAAAATATATCGCCGAGAGTTTCGTGCTGTCAGGAGAGTTCACCTAAATTAGGCATCACGCGACAAAGTTTTGATGCTTAAATTTGGTCGACTGTGCGGCTAGTGCGACACCGGTGCTGAAATGCTTGAAAGAAAACTCGAAATTTGGCGCCCATATACTAGTCTAAGAGCTAGCAACGTTTTCGAGAAAATATTTTAAGACTCTTTGATATATCTTTTATTATGCTCTTTGGAACAGCATGCGGCCCGTCTGGCTGCCGATACCCGTTGCGTTCACTACTGCGCATAGGATCCTATATTTTTTATTAATTTAGTCCTATAAATTCTAGTATTGAATATAAATCGAACATGTCTCCATAGCGCAGTGCGTAGAGTTTCCGACCACGAACCGATGATTCAGAGTTCGAATCCGGGTCAGGGCAAAGACTTTTTTATTTTATTTTCGTTTATATTCTGATAGTAAAGTATTAAATATTTGTTTTTTTTTGAATCAACAGATTTATTATTTAATACTTTACTATCAGAATATAAACGAAAATGAAATAAAAAAGTCTTTGCCCTGACCCGGATTCGAACTCTGAATCATCGGTTCGTGGTCGGAAACTCTACGCACTGCGCTATGGAGACATGTTCGATTTATATTCAATATTAGAATTTAAAGGACTAATAAAAATATAGGATCTTCTTTCAATGCGCAGTAGGAAACGCAACGTTTACCAGCCGCATGCTGTTCTAGAGAGCTTAGTAAAAGAT